GTTTGCTTTTGAGTAAATAGTTCGGGCTGCCTTGTTTTGCAAAGGCCTGTCCAGATTTTTCCATTTTGACTTGTCAAGTTTTGTTTCTCACATATGGGAGAGAGTTCTTTTCTCCCAAGAATAATCAAACTCATCCAGAGACACACAGAAGCTTTTTCAGCCCTTCAAGGAAGATAGGGTGTTGAAAGTCTTTCAGAGCTTTTCTTTCAGTGGCTTTCTCAGAAACATAAATGATGCAGTGCTTTGAACTCGTCTTACAGCCTCTCTTCTCATTTCACTGGCCATTCATTTGTTTTGATGGAAGTTTTCTTTAAGAAAAAAAATTTAAGAWCTTCTCATTGTATTTGAAACAAAAAGAGATATGGAGACTTATGGACCTTGCTATATAAATGATGCTATCGAAAGAAAAAGCAGCAACACTGCATTTCTCTAGCCCCATTCCTACAGGTAAATACATCCATGCTACTTGGTGAGTGAAGTCCAGAGAGGCATGAAGGTTCTTGAGGGATTTAGTGTGGCACTATCTATGTGAATTCCTTGCAGCTAGTCTAGAAAAAAAAATCCACTGCTGTCAAGCCAAATAACACATGCAAACATTTCTCTTTGCAGTATAGCTCTTTCCTGGTATTTTTGCACCATGATGTCACTAGCACAGTGCAAAATAAGTAAAAACAACRGGAAATACAGCACTTCGCAAGCCCTGAGAGCTGAGGTTGCTTTACTATGCGAGTATCGCCTCCTTCTCCTCCTCCCACAGCAGTCTGCAGCTCCTGGCTGCCTCACGGCCCTTGTCCCCAACGCTGCTGTCTCGCCCTACTGCTGCCCCTCTATTTTCTGCTCCCCTCCGCCAGGGCCAGCCTGGCTCCTGCCTCCTCCTCCCTGATCCAGCCTGGCTCCTGCCTCCTCCTCCCTGATCCAGCACGTAAGAGCCAGAGCAGGGAGGCAGCTAGGCCAGCACTCCAGAGCTGAGAGCTTGGGACAGCCTAAGTACTTGCAGATGTGTGAGCACAAGCGGGAATTCATACAAGTCTTCCACTTTTTTTTTTTTTTTTCCCTCCTCCTTCTCAGCGCCAAGGCTGGGGCTTTGAGGACTCCCCACGCGCCCCGTGGGGAGGGAGCCTCGCAGCTCCGCGCTCGCCCGCAGGGAAGCAGCTCCCGGGAAGGCGGCGCCGAGGTGGCGCCTCGCCCCGGCCGCCCCTGCTCCGGCCCCCGGCGCTCGCCGAGCCCYCCGCGGGCTGCGCCGGGGCCAGGTCTCAACCTGTTCCCGCCGGAGCCCGTGGCCCGCAGCCCAGACACGCCGCCGGGCCCCTGGCGACCGTTTGAAACGGGGGCTCCACCCCGCGCCCGCCTGCGCCTCCCGTCAGCCTCTCCCCGCCGAGGGGACGGGCCCGGCCGCCATGGCAACCCCTCACTCAGCCGCCCGGGGCGGGAGGGRCTGGGCGCCATGGCAACCTCGCAGCCAATAGCGACAGCGAGCGGGGGCTGCCTGCGCGCCGGCCAGCCAATAGCAGCCGCGGCGGCGCGGCAGGCGTGGCCGTTGACGGGGGAAGGGAGCGGGTTCCTTTGTGGGCTCCGACAATAAGATGGCGGGCGGGGAGGGGGCGGGGCTAAGCGCGCGGGACGGCCCCGCCCCTTCTCTCAAGCGCGGAGCGGTCGCTGAGGCGGGAGCGGCGGCTCCGGCGCGCGGAGGCACCGGCGGCGGCACCGGCAGCAGCGGCGCGGTGGTGAGTGGGGAAGGCCGTGCTGGGTCGAGCGCGGCGCGGGCCGGGAGGCTCCCGGGAGCCCGGGGCTCCGCACGGGTGGGGAGCGGGCGCCGGCGGAGCGCGCGCGGAGGAGGGAGCCGTTTCAAAATGGCGGCGGGCCGGGAGCGCGGGACGGGCAGTAACGGCCGCCGGGACCGTTGGCGGCCGCGCACGCGCCCAGGACGGCGGGGAGCGGCGCGGAGCGAGGCGGGTGMTTCGAGCGGGCGCGTTTCGCGCTCGCCGCCCGCTCCCCTTCCCCGGCGGCGCCGCCTGCCTCGGGACCTGCCCCCTCGGGACCGCCTGAGGTGGCTCCCGCCGCCGGTGTTCGCCTTTGTCGCGCTGCCGCTGTGCTGTGAGCCCCCCGCTCGGACACCCCTGGGCGCCCGTCTGCGAGCTGGCCCCGTCCCGCGGGCACTCGGCGCCTCTGCACCCTCGGCGCCTTCCCGCGGCGATTACAAAGGGCAGGTTTGGATGGGGGCGGAGGGGAAGCCGGAGGAAAGGAGGAAAGAGTAGAAGGGGGGAGGTGCAGGGCCTTCTTACCTGCCCTTGCCAGCTATCTTCACTATGCCCGTACGAAAAAGGGGAAGAAGAGGGGAAAAAAAAAAAAAAAAACCCCTCTCCCTAAGTGAAACTCCAGTACTGGTTTAGGTAGTGGCTGGACACTCGCTCCTAAAGATGAGTAATGCTAGAATCTCCTGTCCTGGCCTCTCTGTTGCCCCCAACTCGCCGGGGGTGACTTCTGCCCTCATTCCTTGGCGCATACGTCTGTGCGGTGCAGTCCTGCAGGATCTGAACCGAGCGAGCTGGAATGTGTAAGTTGATCCTCGAGTAAGGACTCGGTCGGTTTTCAGGCACTTTATCTGTGAAACAGGCTGGGGATTTGTCACAGTCTCGGGAATAAGAAACGAACTTTTAGTGAGTTACGTAATACTGGTGTTCCCTGCATTACTCCTGGTGAACAAGAGCATGTGTGTGTGTTAAGTTGTAGCGTCCAAGATGTATCTGTATGATAGAAGTTGACACGGTCACAGCAATCTTGAGCAACAATTGTGCTTTTGGCACACACAGACTTGAGTCATTTGGGTTTGGATACAGCTGGTCATCTACTTTGGACAGAAGCAAATACTGCTTGAAACTGCTGGGAGGTTTTTGAACACCTTGCAGATTCAGGCAAAATTGTTGTAGTTCTCTTAGTTTTTTTTACAGATGGCCAGTACCTTTTTATTATTATTATTATTGGATTAGCATGTAAATCAATAGAGAAGCATACTTACTTTTTTAATTAATTAGACTTTAAAGGTATATTCTTTTGAGAGGAATGCTTGTTACAGAAGATGTCAAAGCCTCAAGGACTTTTTTTTGCAAATACAAGGACGTATTTGCAAGGCTTTCTTCATGTCCAGCAATGGCTATGTATTTTAAAGGAAGTATTTTAAAGGAAAATTTAGATACTAAGGCATAACTGGCTAATAGATCCTGTCAGTTACTAGAAACTGAAGAAATAATTGCTCTGATGGGCTTACTCTCTCATAAATTTGTGCCAACAAAGGTCACACATTTGTCCTTTATTGCTTTGGGAAAGATCTTAGAACCACATGGAGCAGGTCTTGCATGCTGTTTTGTTGCATGGGATAACCATTTCATTTTTCGGTATGTTAGCAGACATGTCCACTGCTGTCCTCTCTGACTTACTTTGAGGTCCTGATAATATTTATTTAAAACCCATATGTTCCCTTCAGTAATCCCCTACTGTATCAGTCTGCTATTTTGGGAGGCAAACAGAAGCCTTTTCCTCTAAAACTGTCAGATATCCAAAATAGCACCAGAAAATCTTCTTATTGATTGTTCTCATGAATGCATGTTCTTTAGTGGTCTAGGAAAAAAAAAAAAAAGTGGGTCAGGTCAGGGTTTAGGGGTGCTAATGGTTAATATATGCAGTCTGTCAGAGTGATCTTGATTTATATCATGGGTTGAAAGTATACTGGAGTGCAAAAACTTGTGTATTTTTATATCATGAGATTTTTTTTGATACAAAGAAGAAGCTTTTTAATTCAATTCATACTATGATGTCTTGAGTTGTAGTTCAGATGCTTCGTGGCCCTGTCTCAAATGTTACTGTGAGCCCAGAGTTTCCATGAAATAACAGTGTTTCAGTCCGACTATCTTGGAATTTGGTCAAAAACACTTTGGCTTCGCTGTGCTTAAGGTGGCTGTTGTTATTTCTGACATGGAAAGCATTTTAAGTTAAGTGAATTTTTCCTGACCAAGGAAGGCAGGGAAAAAAACTCTTTTCAACCTTCTCCTTCCTCACAATTTTGAAGAGCAAGCTGTTGTCAAAAGCTTTCCTTTAGTAACCACAGCAGCAAAAAAAATAAAGGATGATACATGTACGCATCACTTTCATTTGTTTCTTTTCCAGGTATGTGCTTTGCCTGTCTTGTATAGTACAGACATGTCTAGAGAAGCATTTGATTTATATATATTATTAAGTTTTTGTAACTCTTGTAAACTGAGCGTTCCTTTTGTTTCAGTAATGAAGAATTCTTTTGGTAAATCAAATGATATTTTGCCTTAAGTGTTCTTCAAAAACATTTTTATAGTTAAAACAATTTTATTTTCATTACTGTCATCTTGCAAAGTAAACCATAGTCATGAAGTTTCTGTGCTGCTGCTTAGGGAAATATGTTTCTGGTTTTGCTACCTTTCAGTTTTCTATTTGTTCATGTTTCTCTCTCTCTCTCTCTCTCTCTCTCTCTCTCTCTCTCTCTCTCTCTCTCTCTCTCTCTCTCTCTCAATAGTTTAGTCATATATGATTTTGTACACCAAAAGGGGAAAAGTATGTGGGTTTGTGTGATAGATCTTTGTGAAGATTTGTTTTCAGTATGCTTGTGTATGCATTTAAAAATTTTTCAGATGAGAGCTAAAAATTTTGTTTACTCTTTCAATGGTGAAGGCACAGGGATAAGGGAGAGGCTAGTCCAAAGATCAGGATAATAGCCTAGGACTTGAACTTACTCTGGCAGTTTCATTGTCTTGCCTTTTGTGTGTGTGTGTGTTGGAGTAAATCATCTTTGTGTTATATCTTTAAATAGGTCTCATTGTGAGGATAAACAATGTTCCTATAATATGGAATAACACTAGTGAAGCAGTTGAGGAATAGAAACATATAAGTTTCTGAAATACGAAATGATTTTGCTGTGCATCTCCTGCATTTCTCTGACTTCTTGCTTCCTGGTACTTGGTAGGTGGTGCTCTAACTTTTACTGTATGGACTCTTGCTCAGTAGCATGGGAGAAGAGGAAGGACTACATCAAACACCATTACTGGTATGTATTTTTTTCCCTAAGTGAAACATTAACCTTGTAATATTTGGTGTAGGCTTTGAAGCTGACTGATAAAGGATTGTTTTAATGAATGTAAGATACTGATTTGAAATGAATACTATAGAAGTTGCTGAAATTTTCCTTTTTCCTATGCAAGGTTTATTTTTAAAGATTCAAAAACCCACAAAAAACACATTTTTTTCGCATTGGTTTTTACACACGTGAGACACTGAGGTTTTCATTTTTTTGTAACATTCTGAAAAACAAGTTAACAATTGATGATTATTCTTCATGTGAATGTAGGTTAGAATGAAAACAAGCTTCAAACTGTGTGTATTGCTTACTGTTTGATGACATAAAAATCATATGTAGTTATTAGTCTCAAAAGATATTTCTAGAGGATGGCAGTTTCATATAGGGAATATGTGTTTAGAATACTGTGTATACTTCCTGTGAATTAAATGGGATATCCTCAGATGTGAAGTTCATAGCGGCTTTTCCACACTTTTAGATATTCCTCTCAAACAAAAACTAAGGGAGGGTGTTTGTTTGTTTTTAAGTGGGAATAACAAATATTTTGTGTTACTGGAGGATTTTTACAGGGACCTTCCAAAGAATTTGCTATGTTGGTAATGCATGGATAGCTTTGAAGTCTGGGGAGGGGGGGGAATGACCTTAACACCAGGTTACTGTATTATGTATTGCAATCTCTGTATATTATAATTTCTGAAGAGTTTTGTAGCTTCAGTGGAAAAAGAGATCTTGTAAGGACTCCTCAGACCCCCACGAAGCTGTTCTGTTGATTATGTACAGCAGTATAAGCATTATTGCATACTGTCAGATGGAACACCTGTCTAGCTATTGTCCAGCCTTCAGGTTTTCCAAGTAGATATGTAAAGAATGTTTAAAGGAGCAGCATAGTTACTTGGGTTTGTTAGCAAGATCTCTCATCTTTTTCAGAATCACTGAAAACCACAGTGTTCAGCACAATAACAAAAAAAACAAGTGGGAGGCTAAGGCTTACCAAAATAAGTCTTAAGCAATGTAGAAGAGACTCCTCAACAGAGTTATAATTTTTGTTGAAAAATCACATTTTAGTTTAGGTCATTTCATACACCATTCCCTAAATATTAGGCAAGCAGGAAYGCAAAGAAGACTTAAAAAGGATGTCATGGAAGTGCATAGACTTAAAGATCAAGTAATTGCTTTCATCTGATGCTGAATTTCTATATGGTCAGAAGAAGTGATTATCTGCCACTCTCAAAAAGTTACTGTCTRTTTCAGGAGTTTAGCTGCAGTACTTTTTTAGCAGGGGCTATCATAAAAATGAGCACAACTAAGGTGGTGATCTCTAAGTTAGCAGTTGAAATTCATATCTTAGCTAATTCAGGAAGGTACTTTTTTTAGAAGCAAATAATTAGAAGCCTGGATGCATCCCATTTATTTTTAGTCATGTAGCTGGTTAGCATAAACTGTGAGTTCTGCTCCCGGATAGTTGAGTAAGAAAGAAAGGCCCATGCCAGGGATGTCTGTGCCTGTCCAAAATGGATTTGCCTGGTTCACATTTGGATTGAACACTGGAATTAGACAGGTTAGCTCTTCACTAGTGAGGCAAGCTGTGGGGACAAGGGGGGGCTGCTTTTAGGGACCTATGTTGTATGACTTAATAAGTTAAATGGAACAAATCTTAGATTTGACCCTCCTTTTGCCGGAAGTAGTATTGCCCTTACCCTTTCAAGCGTGCTGCCAATTGGATTTTTTTTTTCTTTTAATTTACTTTATTTTGCTGTGTTACTAGGTGTGTTGATGTTCTGCAGTGGGCAAAAATCTTTTAAAGATGGTTTGCCAGGCTGTATTTTTATTTCCAAAATTAGAGGTTAAGCATGCAAGTAGAAACTTGGGAAGAGCGAGGAGAAACTACCTCTCCAGTAGGCGAAATGCAGCCACTGAGGCGCTTGCTTCTGTGCGAAGCAACGGCTCCTGACTTCCATCAAGTGTGGAACTTCATGGGAGGCAGGAGCCGGAAGCTCCAGCCTTTCCGATGCCTCTCTCCGATGCCTTGAGTTGTGGACCTGCTCACCCCTGCTTCCCGAATGCCGTCTTTAGGACCCAGTCCATATGTTCCTGACCTCTCTTGTACCACAGTGGCCATTCTATAACCTGGTATGACAACTCTGATGTTTCTGTCTTCAAAGAACTACTTTTGCTATTTATGATTCTGAAGTTTTCTGTTTTGTTTTTACTAGTCTTTTTTTTTTTTTTTTCTCCTCCTTTCAAGGTGTTTACATTGTGTATTTTTGTTTCTTTGTTTTGTTTTTAACAGGACACAATGTTTGTACGAGGACTGAAGAGAAAATGTTTTGATGGTGAAGAAGATATTGAAGGAACTCTGGCTGGTATTAAAGCTATTCCTTCATATAATCTTCAGAGACAGTCACTTTTAGACATGTCCTTGGTTAAGCTCCAGCTGTGCCACATGCTGGTTGAACCTAACCTTTGTCGTTCGGTACTTATAGCCAACACAGTACGACAGATCCAGGAGGAAATGACCCAAGATGGGACTTGGCAGATGATAAATACACAGAGTACAGGGCAAACGTCCCTGGATCGTCTTGTTTCAACGGATATCCTCTGCCGCTCATCCAGGGAACAAGCTGAGGGAAAGCAGGTTCCAGGTTACAGTTCTTTCAATAAAGACTTTGAGGATGATCAGACACAAGACAGTTCAGAAACTATGTCCACGTCTTCTTCAGTGCAAACTCCAAGAAACCTGCAAAGCAATGTGTGGGAAATGGAGAATCCGCAAGAAAGCAGAGGAAACTTTCAAAAGTCATTAGATCAAATATTTGAGACACTGGAGAATAAGAACCCTAATTCTGTTGAAGATCTGTTTTCAGAAGTTGACAATTCTTACTATGATCTTGATACAATGTTAACAGGAATGATGAGCAACACAAAAATGGGACACTGCGATGGGCTTGAAACGTTTTCTTCTCCAACAACTGCAACGTCTAACTCTAATTGTAAATCTGATCTTAATGAGCTTGATCATATTGTGGAAATCCTTGTTGAATCTTGAGACTGCTCGTCTAGGAGATAAATATCTGTTATTGGATATGAAAGACTTAAACTATTTCAACATAGTTTTTTTCTATCAAAACTGCTAGTGTATTTTTCAAATATCTATATATTATATAGATATATATATTAAAAAGCACTTCATATTGCAAAATCATGTTAACTCTTAAAGTTAACCTGCAACTTGTAGTGTAATAGTTTCAGTTTATTGTCATTGAACTGTAAGTACCTGACGGTAAAAGTTTCAAGTTAGAGGTCTGAGGCTTTTAAAATTGGGTTCCTTTTGCCAATTTATTTTAGCCTTTGGAAGATAAGTTTTGCAAGAGGGATTCTCTCATCTTTCTTACTCTTCCCTCAGTTAAAAAAAAAAAAAAAAAAAAAAAGTCATAAGTGTAAGTTGGATAACTGGTTTTCTATTTTTCCAGGCCAACACTTTGTTACACCACAACTCCTGCCATATCTGCTGCTTCTGTTGTAAGTTGCTGCATGGCTCTTAAAGAGCAGTATGCAATAGCTCCCATTATCTTAGCTAGCTTATTCTGGGTTTTGCTACTATTTTTTCCTTTGAAAATAGTTTTAAAGTGTTTATTCGTGTTTAGATTTTTTCCAGGTATTTTCCTAAGATATTTTTTTACTACAAATGTTGTGTCAGCTGCTAACTTAGTAACTTTAACTTTTGATCATATCTGCAGTTGATGTATTTTTTGAAAGATTTTTCAAAAAGGGATGTTTTTTACCATGAGCTACCCAATGTAGTTCAGTAAAGTGTTTGTAAATGTAAATATATGATTTTATACTTTACATTAAAATGTAAGAGCTGTTTTCATGATTCTGTTTTATAGAGTAGTACTTTACTAAATTGAGATTTCTACAATTACACTTTTTATGCCACGTATAGTTGAGTGTCATTAGAGAGGAAGAGCTCTGATCCAGCTAAATACAATTACATTTAATTCAGTTCAGACCATATTTGTTGTTAACTTCAAACCTAAATTACGTAGGTCTTATTTATGTGTATTTATATGTAAATGTCATCAACTGAATTGTTTATCACTGAAGTCTGCCATCAAATATTTGTTTATATGAGGTAACTATCTTGCACTAATTACTACAAAAAGTATTACTAGTGGCCTTTAAATTTCAACTGGTATGTCTTTGTTGTGTCGTAACTGATATACTCCAATCTTAGCAAGGTTTTCCTCTTGCCTTTTTTAAATAACAAAGAATAAGAAATGTGGAATGGTTTTCCTTTCTTTAAGTAGTTGTGCTCTTCTTTTAAAGGGTGTTTAACTAATCTCATTCCTGTGAGACTCTTTTGGGGAAGGGATGGATTGAGCATCAAAAGATTTGTTGTTACAAAATCATGTCAAACATTTATCCACAAAATGATAGTGGGAAGAGATTTTAAACTGATTCCTTGCTTTCTGGAATGCTCTAGCATTGGCTGTGGAAGGGGGAGTTATCCACCTGTAACTTTGTAGTTGTTATAGGCTTGTGTCTGCTGAGCCAGTGAATATGGAAAGAGAACATTTCTCTGTTAGATGCTGCCTTTGCATGAGTGACCTTACCTACTGTGGGCTTGCTCTTCTAGATTCTCAAATCCCTGAAACATTGCAGGAGAAACAACCTAAGTACATCCCAGTATCACTTGCACAAAAGGAACATGGAGCTTATGATTTCATCAAGAGCATTAGAGGCAGATCCTTTCTGGAGTGGGGGTTAACATTGTGGGTTGTTTTGTTTTTTTCTTTTTTTTTTTTGGGGGGGGGGGGTTGTTTTTTTTTCCTTTACTACATCTTTGAATTTATGGTAACTCGGCTGTGTGAAACCATGCAGTTAGTCTCTAGTGAATTCGAAAGTGCTTTTTGTATAGGACTTAAACATGAGGTTGGTGATCTTTATTTGTTAAACATTAGTTCCTAATTAAATTTTGATATTAACTTTAAAGCATGAAATATCATGCAGACACTTAAAAGTTCAGTCCATATAATATAACTGGACCAGCAAAACACAGAAACAGTATTAGATCTCTTAATAGATACATCACTCGTATTTGAGGTTTTCTAATACGAGAATTTAAAAGATAATATAGCAGTAAAGTCTGCTTAATGAGGTTACGAATATTGATGTTTTTTCTATATTTCAAAATAATTGTGAAATTATAGTCTGTTTTACTTGGCAGTGTTTGCAGCATCAGAGATTCCTTCCAAAATTATAAATCCTCAGGAAAATTTGTTTGATATGTTCCATTGTGTGGATAGATCACTGAATGGGACAGCAGATGTCTTRGGATAAAGCAGAAGGCTGGGCAGCTATAAAGATTTATAAAGGGAGCAGCAGTGAATTGAATAACAAAACATCTTCTGTCTGCTTGAGCAAGTTCTTCAAAACTGATTTGATATTTAAGCTCTTTTGAGATAGTAACATCTGTAGGTGTTTCTTCATGTCACCTTCTCCATTTTCATTAAACAAGGTGGTATACTTGCTTAAAAAAMCCCTTTCCCACTTTCCCTGCCAGCATTCCTCAAGCTTCATGTCATTAGGCAGGATTTAGTATAGTTAATAGTAACTTTCTGTATAAACCAGTTCATATATATTTCATCAGGCATTTGTCATGTCCACTGTTTCACCAGCAAAGCTATTCCTGGTTACAGTAAGTTCCCAAACCAAGAGATTGCTTGGTTTAAGAGGAAAGGTATTGGGTAACTGAGTAGTTMAGCATTTTAAAAGAAATGTTTTTATGATGTCCCTTAAACTGACTCCAAATGTTCTCATGTGTTCTGTTACATGCCTGATGTCTCGGCTTAAGTCTTTAGCAGGTACAAGCATTCATGCTGCTGAAACCCKAACAGATACTTGATGGATGTGTACTTGGAACTGCAATCAATTTGAAAGGGTCCAGTCAATATAAAATCAACTTGTTGCTCTATTCACCTGTTCATTTGGGATAGTTTCACCTCACCTATGGATAACAACTTTATTTTCTAGTTCATGTCATCCTAGTTAAATACACATCACCTGCATTAAAGTCTACTGTATTAACCTTCAGGTATTTCTCGAAGACACAGAGATCAGAAATGACATAAGACATAGAGATTGGAAATGACAGGGTGTCTAGAAGGGGGCAAGAATTATTTTGTGAACTGTCATTACAAATGGGGACAGCCAATACTTGCTGAAGGAGATTTTTTTTTTTCCTATCTATGAATGGAAAGCCTCTGCAAAATTATGCAGCTATGTCTAGTAGTCTTTTTTTTCTGCCCTCATTTTGGTGTATTCTTATGGGAAAAGTCCTAAGATGGCATGGCAATCAACACTTCAAAAATAGGCTTTGGGTCTGAATGAGGACTCAGCTTCAGTCTTGCACGAAAGAAAATGCTTTCAAGCAAACAGCTAACATCAAATCTGCTTCCTYCTTAGGTCACCTTGAATGTATGTCCCCTTCTGCCTGTGGTTCTCTTCTACCTTGCAAGAAAGACCAGAGCACATGGAGCTGCTGGAGCCTGGGTGTTCAGCAGAAGTGAAAGTGAAAATCCAGGCTGTGTTGAATGCAGCTGCGTGTCTGAGGGCTTGTCTGGTATCTGCTTGCCTGTTCCCCTTCCTCTTCCCCACTCCCCTTTTTTCCCCCCTCTCTCTTTCTCCCCTAGCTCGGAGTTGATCCTACAAGATGTTGCCTGTACTAATGTATCCATGTTTGCACGAAGGACATGTTGGGAAGTGAAGTTTTTTCTTGGAATGATTCTACTTCCATGTTGCCTCAGAGGTATAGCAAAGAGCACATTACAGCTGTGACTTTTGTCCTTTATCAGGATATGGTTTTGCATGGGAGTTGCTTGTGAGGAATTCACTTTTTCTAAGTCTTAAATTTCAAGATATACTTAGTATAYTTCTCTATAACAAGAGAAGACATTTTAAAAAGCATTATTGTAAGTTGACTGAAAGTAAAGTTTTGTAATTATGAGGCCACTGAGAGTGCATTGTGATCTGAAAGTATGGCTGTCATGTATTCAGCAACTTAATTATTCCAAATTCCCCTGTGAACATACAGACTTCATCAAAAGACAGGACACAAAATGGTATCACTCACTTGCTGACGCTGTGCATGAGACAAAAATTCTCTCAGTTAGTGCTATTCAGAGTGAAAGTACTTTTAGGTCTCAGGTCCCCTATGCAAATGTCACCTATGCAAAAATYGTGACAGATACTCATTGCACAGCAACCCCTAATTGAATATGACTTCACACTACACTAATATTGAAAAGTACAAAAAACAGCAAGCTAGCTTTAAGACTTCAAAGCAGAGGAAAAAAATGTTTATCTTCAAAAAGAAAATATTGTCAATTTGGTTAATTCAGTTATAAGATTTCACAAGAATTTTCTCATCATTTTGGCGCCTCTTGCAAAATTGATGAAAACAATTTTGCTGCTTTTCCAGAAAGCTCCTGACTTTCCTTTTAAAACTAGTAAAAAAAAAATACAATTTCATTTCATAAGTTTGTTTCATAGCTCTTTTTTTCTTAAGTGGGAGTACTTCCTTGTTTAACCAAAGTTCGTCTAAAATGAGTATTTTATGACCTGAGCAATTACCGTGTAAGCCTTAATGTTTTTATGTGGCTGTGTAAATGCTGATGCATGACCAGCTTCTTAGCAAAAAAGTACAAAATTTAAGGTAGATTTTTTTTCCTGCAGTGAAAACAAAGTCCAGTAATTTCACATGTCATGGTTTTAGGGAGGAATGATGAAATATACATGGGATTACACGATTTCTTGCAGAAACAGTATTAAAACCAAACCTATGTCTCCCATTCGGAAGCCCCCAATGAATACACAGGAAGCGAAGAAGTGCTGTAACGGTGAGCTGCTAAAGCTGAGGGATAGTTTCCTCCTACCCCTCAAAAAGTTCAATCATTTGTCTTGGTAAGTAATCTAAACCTTACTGTGAAGAAGCTGATTGATTTGTCAGGAGAAAATCAAAGCGTGTTTATGACAAGCTCCTCAACCTGGTGTCAGTGGAAGGAAGGGCAGTTAATGCTGCTGCTGCTGCTGCAGCCTCTTGTTAGGGGCTCTCCTAAGCCCTTAAAAGTGAAAATTTTCCATTGGGGTGCAGAAGAGGGATCATTTATAGTCTAACAGCTACAGCCAAGATACTTTCTGATTGCAATAGTAGTATTTCTACTTTCTGAAAAGGCTAGTAATAGAAATAGGCTAGTAATATTACAGAGCTAATTAGTGAAAGTACAAAAGATCTTGGAAAGCAGAGGACTGATGATGTTAGCTTTCAATACTGTGTGTTGATGATGATTTTTGTTTTTGCTTAGAGTTCCTTAAAGATTTCTTTACCAGTTGTAAAATAATGCTCTTTCCTGCCTGTGAGTATATGATATTCACTTTGCTCTGGGATCCTTAAATGACAGGAAAAAAAAGTTAGATATCTAAGGCATCTTTTAGTCCAGTGAGCTGACTGACTTTAAATTGCTTGCTTATTTTTTGTTTTATCAAAGCCTAATGATCTGTCCTGTCCTAAGAAAGAATACTATTTTTCTGCTTTCCAAGTTGGTCTGAAAGGTACGTACGAAAAGAAGTACTTTTTTATTTAGCACTCTGACAAAGATTGGGTAGTCTATTTTAAAGTAGATTCCAGTTCTTCTATGTGTATCCCACTGATGTTGGTGTTCAGCAGAAATGAAAAACTGTCAGAAACCTTTTCAAATGATCAGTGAAATGTTCGCCGTGTTAATTTATATTGGCTTCAGGAGGTTATAAATTAAAGCCAAAGCTTTTAGCAGCTCCATATTATTTTCATAGATCTTCAGAGTGTCTGTGAAATGGATCTCACCTTTCTAGAACCCTCTAGCTGTAGAAGATGCAGGTACTCTTTTCTTTCTGTCAAACAGAARGAAAAAATCAGTTACAAAACAATTGAGTTCATTAGGTTAATAACTTAAAGTGGGGTTATCGGTGATGGTGTCTGCCTGGCAGGCTGCTGAGAGGGAGCGAATGCCCTTTAGCTGTGTAGGCTCCTGCTGCCGGAGCTGGGAAGTGTGAGGAGCTGGCGGTGCCGGGCTGCAACAGCGCAGGGTGGCGCGGGGACCGCGTTATCTCGCTGAGGGTCTGCAGAGGATGAACCCGTGCCCAGGGAGCGCCTCAACATGGGCATTTGGGGCCAGTCTAGAAAATTCTCATTTTTGCTGAAGTTGTTAAAATASTTGTGTGCTGCTGCTGGTTTCACAGGGATTAAATCACCCCTTTCCATGCCAGCACTGCACATAGCTGCTCCAAAAAGGTCCCTTGTGCATCTAGCGCCCTCGTAGCCCTGTGCTGGATCTCGACTGCCAAGGCCGGGTCAGGCCCTGCCTGCCTTGCTCCGTGCCCCCTGCCCCTTCCCCCGGAGGGGGTGGCTGTGAGCCCTCCTCGCTCCCCGGCCCCTGTGCCCATCTCTGCAGCCRCAACAGCCGCGTCTTTCCGGAGCCCTCCATCCCGCCCCGGTTGGGAGGAAAGACCCCATGTGCACGAGGGAASCCTGAGGGGAGTTTCCTGTGTGTAATTCCTGACCGAGCTAACTGGAGAAGCCTGAGCAGGCTGCGGGGGACGCGCCAGTGATGGGTGAAAGACTCCGAATCAATCTTTGCAAACACTTGGCCATCAGATGTTGAAACCTGGCTTGCATAAACGCTTGCGCCAATGGGATTACGCAAATGCCCGCAGAGAGCAAATACAAAAAGAGGTTAGGCATGGCAAAAAAGCCTCCTCTTTTTTTAAAGTGAATATTTAGGGAAGCATTTTGCAATGTTTGAGGTACCTCGAGCAACGTATGTGCCTTATTTCCCAACGCGGCCAGGAGCGCGAGGGGCAGGCGCCGCTCTGCAGGGAGGCCCGCGCCGCTCCCCTCGCTTTAACGCAGTAACTGGGGATCCGGTTCCCGAGGGCGAGCGCGGCGGGGGGAAATAAGGGGAGGTCGGGAAGCAGCTGGGGGGGTCGCGGCCCCAACTTGGGCCCCGCCGCGTGCGGCGCCGCCCGCTCCGCCCCCACCCGCAGCCCCCCCCGCGCCAGCGGCACCCGCGCCGCGCGGGCGGGGCCGCCTCCCGGAGCGCCGCGGCGGGGGGACGGCGGACTCGGCGGCGCCCGCCTTCCCATTGGGCGAAACTGGTGCGGAGGCCCCGCCCTCCCCAGCGCTCCCGGCTTTCTCATTGGCCCGCGCCGCGGGGCTAGCCGGAGCCCAACCCACGGGCTCGCCGGCCAGTGAGAAAATGGTTGCCGGGCAGGTTGAGGCGGCCGCTGGCCAATGGGGAGGCGGCCAGCTGGCGGGCGCGGCGCACGCAGCGCTCTCCCTGCCCCCCCCTCCCGCCCCGCGCCGCTGCTGTGGGTGCCGCGGGCGGAGGGCAGGGGAGGGCGGAGCGGAGGCTGCCGGGGCCCGGCGGGGGTGGCGCTCGCCTCCGCCTCCTCCCGCTCGCAGCGCCAGCCCCGCCGAAGGGAGCCCGGCCGGCTGCCTGGGGAGGGCACGGCAGGCGGCGAGGGAACGCGGCGTCCCTGCGCTCCCAGGTGCGCCGCGCAGGGGGCACGCGGAGGCGGCGGCAGGGAGGCAGGGGGAGCACGCGGGGAGTGTGTGTGTGTGGGGGGGGGAGCGGCCAGTAACGGCCGCCGCGCGACCGTTGGGCAGGGCGGTTGGGGAGGGGGGGGCAGAAAGCGCCGCGCTGCGGGGGGGGCGTGCGCGGAGGGGCCGCGGGGAAGTTGTTGGCGCAGTTATAATTAGCTCGGCCGGGGTCTCCGCCGAGGCGGGCGCGGGGAAGGGGGCGGAGTGTAACTTTTAGCAGCTCGGGAAGCCCGAGGGTGTCTCCGGTTACCGCCGCCGCGGGGGGAGGCGCGGGCAGGAAGTACCAACCGGGCGCCTTCCACAAAGGCCAAATGGTGGCGGCTCCCGCGGGCGCAGCCCGGGCGGCAGCCGCGGGGCCTGGTGGCCGCCCGCTCGCAGCGAGGGGGCTCCTGCGGCGGCCGCTCCCGGCGTGTTCAGCCGCTGCTCCTCGCCGCCTCACTTGGTGCGGCTGTTCCTCGGCGTGGCTCGCAAACCAGCAAGGCTGGAGCACAAGCCTCCGTTTTTTTTCCTATGCGTATCCTAAATTCACCTCCTTAATAGATGCAGGTAGTAATTATGCCYCAGATAGGCCTAGTTTTATTTATTCATTTCTATTTTTATTTATTTCTATTTTCAAGATATGTTGGAGCAGTTCATTTCCAAAGCTGTAGGTAGAACCCCTTATATGATAGTTCTCATCTTTTTATATAGGTCTGTATGTGTGTATATATATATTTTTTTCCAGACATGGTCTTTCAGCAGTTCTCAAGTTAGCTGCCCTACAGAAAATACCATGAACATTGAAATGAATGTTGTGCCGCATTTCTAAAGTGACCCATARCCACATAGTAGAAAACTTCAAGGTGAAATAATAGAGGAAAAGAGGAGAAAAGACAGATTTTTTTTTTCTTCCTCGCATGTAAATTCATCTTTGCTCATAACGACTATGTGTCAGTATAATTAAAAAAAAATAAAAATGAAACCTAGCAACCGCACCTCTGTACTTCCTATTGTCACTTGGTGTGAAATTGCATAGGGGGAAAAAAGAGAACTCAAACAGTAAATTTTGTAGCAATCTCTTGATGTATATTGAAGTATGTAATAAAGTAATTTAATTCAGAAACTCCTTGAATTTCTCTAGCAAGAGGTTAGCCTTTTAAAATGCATTAAACAGGATCTTTCATCACTTGCTGCTTCCTCCCCCTCCCCCCACCAAGCTCCTGGAATCTAAAACTTTTAATTTTTCATTGCGCTTTTTAGGGTTTTTTGTTCTATTTTGTTTTTGTTTGTTTATTCTTAAASGTTACCTTAATACTAAGAAGACTTCACATTCTAAATATGTGGGGTTTTTTTTGTATTACATAGAAAATAGAATAGTTTTTTCCTTGCACTGAAACTTCCCAAGCMCACTTTAATAAGCATCAGTAGTACATTTCTAAAGCCTTGCTGTTTTGAACCAAAAAGGTTGTGAATCTTCATTTGTCAAGTTGTTTTTATTTTATTAATCGCAAGTGGCGTGGATCTTATGCTAGGAAAGAAGCCAGCTTCTAGAAGGARGAGAAGATATTACTGTAGTTGTATTACTGTGGGTTAGATTTGGCATTATTAGGTCATGGGCATTTTACTGCTGYGTTATTGCTCTTCTGTTCCAAGATTCTATAAACAGAGGAGCCTTTTGCTAACATGAGGCTTCGAGTTACTATGTTAAATGAACTGTATTTATTTGTTTCTCCAGCCTTCTAAATGCAAGACTGGCTTTTATCCCGTGTTATTTTTAAAATATTTTTAAATTCTTTGTTCTTGATCATGTAAGAATGTAATCTGTATAGTATTGATCTTTGCTCTTGTGTTGAATTGGTAGGACTGCGGTAGCAAGGGTTGTATGTATATATATTGACACAAATGTAATATACAATCCAGAACATAGGCTAGGCTGTTTAAGGGCTTTAATTCATGGATTTAGAAAACGCACTTTCTACAGACGAACCATGGATCACACAATTCCTTTTGTATCTCCTAACCTGTCCTATAGCTTACTGTCACTTTAACCTTTTTTGGTATCCCTGGGTTTCCAAYGCCTTGATCTAATCCACGGTTTAATCTCTAGCTGTTGGCAAACTACAGATGTTGCTTTATCAGGGTCCTGATGAAAGTGATAGTACATTGGATATTACGTGGTATCCTAAGGCATCATGCCTGCTATTTTCTCATAGTGATTTTGAGTGTGTTGGTGAAAATGAGGAAAGTTGGGGAGCACGTGAAAGAATAATTCCTCATGAAAGTCCAAATCTAAAAGTTGAATTCCTTTTCTCTTTTGCGATTGTTGGGAGATTACTTTGAAACATATTTCTTTACTGTTCATGTTATTGGCTCTCCTGCTGTATGAGAAAAGCGTAAATTGGTGTATAGTAACATGAAGGGGTATTGATGTAAATTCTTGTGCTCAAACTTGGAAGATCAGTGTTCCCTTCTGTAGCGTTTGTTTATGAAAGATAATTTCCACCTTTCTTGTGTAAAAAAATATTACCTCATTATACTTCAGTGCATTTATGAAATTCAGTTTTCTAATTTAACTATTTTAATAGGACTTATCACTAATCATTTAGTTATGTGGGACTGTGTGCTTAATACTGTTGCTAAAGAAATTTAATAGTAATGAAATGTTCCTCTATTTTTTCCCCCAAAGTTCCATCATCCTACCTCGGTGGATGGCTCGATCTCTTGAATAGTTCAAGAGTCTTGGATGATCACACTTTATGCAAAATCAGGAATCTTCCTGCTTGGACAACTTCTCATATTTTAAGGGTAACTACTTGTTTATTTTATAAAATGATACCTTATGCACATAATTCATGTTTGGATAATCACTGTCTGTTTTATTTATTTTTATTTTTTTAATGTTCTAATTTAATTACAGTTCAGTTTTACTATAAGAGTTTCTAGTTTAGTAACTTTTGATGATGTGCTTGCTTTTTCTCAGTGCTGTTCTTTAGTAAATGATTTCAGGTCCTTCTGGCTAAAGACATCTATTATAGGTTCCTGAAAATACTTGCTAAACACGCTTGCATTAAAAGCTTTATTTGCAAATGTCAGCCATATCCAAGTAGAGGGGGCAAAGAAAGAGAGGAGTGACAGAGCTTTTTAAGGATACATCTTTTTCTCTGCGTTACTCAGCATCTTTTCTAATATAAGCTTCTGGAATAGGTGTCAGCCACATGAATATATGCCATTTACTGTTGTAAATGGCCCAGAGCCACTTGTAGCCTCTGGAAAGTACATATCCTGAAAGGGGGAATTCAGCTGTGGGAGTCAATATTAAGTATTGGTAACAGTTTTGTTCTATAAAACAAAAAGGGTGTAGGGGACTTTGTCTTCAATGCAGGAGGTTTCTCGATCCAATTTGACCTGGCAAGAGTAGTTGTTTCTTCTCCTACCTAACATTTTAGCGGAGGCAAAATTTACTCTTAAGTGCTTTGTAGACATCAATTCGGCCCTGAAGTATTACTGTAGGGTATATATTTGTCCTCTGCTTCTGAAAATACTGAGTTGACAGTGGCAAGGTTATGAATTCCAGATTTCTTTCTGTGTTAGGGTTAGTCCTCCCCTCATTCCTTTCCTCTACTTAATGAGTACTCTTCAGCCTATTTTTAATTCTCAGAATGTGGGAAATGATGTTATCCTTAGGTATGCGGGAGTCTTGCCTCACCCCTTTTTATTTTTCTGTCTAAATAGCATGTCTTGCTTCTCTGTTCCAGGTGCATTAGTAGCAAGAGAGACGCTTAAGTGCCTTGCGTGTCAGGATTTAGTGACCAAAAAACTAACATTTCCTGGTCATTCCTCCTCCTGTAAAGAAGTTGTTATAGAGGAGCTTAGGTGTGGGAGTAAACTGGTAGGACAGAACTCCTCCCTATATGCACACTTAGAGCCACATGTGCCTTCTCAAACAGTTACTCATCTCTGCTAATTTGGGGACAGGAGGCAGAGAGAAAAATTTAGTTCCATTTTTCTGTGTTTTAAAAGGTGTTTAGATCTGGGTTGCTGTTTAGTTTGGTATCTTTTAATGAGTTTAATTTTCCTTTCCTCACTTCCTCTTAATTTTTACTAACAGCCAAGATGTGATGTTATGGGGATCTCAACATTTGCTGAGGACACCAGATCAAATACACTGTTCTGTGTAGTCTGTTGACAGCTTACTGTGTTACGTAAGTCATGTTTAAGTGATCAGTGTTAAGTCCGGATGGGAAGAAAGGATTTATACAGTGTGTGTTACCATATCTTTAGGTTTACCTTTTTCCGTGCAGCTTCCTGTACTTGGAGCACTAATCAAGACCCAGTCCGCCATTTAATTAGAATCATTAATGAAATCTTGTTGMCCAATATATTGCCTATGCTGATCCTTTGAGGGGGAGGGGAAAGACTATCATTAAATATCATGTAAATATCATTAAATAATCCATTACCTATGGGGATATCTGTAGTCCTTTGTGATTCTTGTGGATACGTGGGTGCTTGTAAAAAAGAAAGGAAAGCAGGAAGTCAAGTTATGAATTAGCTTGTCAGTATCACAAGTCTATAGTATCCAGAGAGACTTCTAGCTGTCTTATCTGTTACGCATTTTATACTGCTATGAGCCCTAGGAGACTCTGAAAGGAAATGAGTCAAATCATAATAGCAAGGTATCTCTAATTTCAGTGTTAATAAAGTTAGTGTAGTTGCATTACTGGAAACTGGATGAGCAGCTTTCACTCAGGAGATGCTTATACCTGTTCAAATCTGTCATCGCATCTGTTGATAAACAGTCATATTTATCACCTGAGACAGTCTCGGACATTGTGCCTTTATGAAGAGTCAAGCAAGCTTGAATTTGATAATATCATAAGAAATAAAGCCTGAGGAGAGCACTTTTGAGCATATGATTTTGACCTGCACATACTGCAGGCGAGTACTTTACTGGTGATCTTTCCATTTAAATTTATTCTTTAATGGTAGATGAATAACTCTTGTGTAGTTGGCTGTGATGCTTGTTTTGTGCATGAAAAGTAAGTTCAGACAGCTTAACTTCGGCACTTGTGCTTTATATGCTTTCAGTGGTTTCTGAAACTACTGAAAATGAAGCTGTATGCATTTACTGAGATAAAAATGTTTTATCCTGCTCTTGAAATATTTTGTACAAGGTGAGCAAGAGGAAACTAGTAAGYAGTTTTCCCAAACAGAAGTAATTAAGGGTTTTCACTTGCTGCATTCTTTGCGACCATTTCCAGCTGCACTTCCTAACTGTGTATCAGTGGCAGCTGTGCTGCAGTATCAGACCTTGTGACAGATGGAGCTGTGTTTTTTCTCTGAAATGGTGGCACGAGTCCTGTATTGTCCACAACACTTCGCAATGTGAATGTTTCTTGGTAGCTTGGAATGTTGCTTCTGAGTAGCTGCGAGCTCTGAGGCCTGTTTGTTTGGTATTCTGCACTGATTTTTCCAACGAGTGACGTGCCTCTTCCAAGTTTTTTCAAACTTGGATACGGTCTAGGGTTACAGAGCACAGATGCTTCTTCCCAGCCTAGCAGGGAGAAGTTGCTGTGAAATGTCCTCTATGGTACTTAAAGGAATTGTGGATTCTGCTTCAGGGACGGGATCTCTAGGTATAGCCTCCTTGGTATTTTAGAGATACGGATGGAGAGTTTGACACTCATAAACATCAACAGTTCACATTGCTTCCTTTTCTACACATACAAAAAGTAATTAAGCATTAAAAACCATTCTACTGTAATTTGCCTGTAACAAGGTTTGAGTTTATATAGCAGGGGGATATGAGAGAAAGTCAGGAAAAAATAATGAGACGTGGTATTCCTCGTTGTGTTTTTTTAATGACAAAAAAAAGCTTTTTTTTTCCTCTTTTTTAATTTGGTTGCTTAACTTTTTTTTTTAATTCAAAGGAAGCATAACTAACACCTAGCTTTTTATTATTAAAGAGGTATGTTTATACCTAGCATCTGAACTTGGCGTAAACTTTTTTGTTGATTTTATTATTTAAAAGTTACAGAGTTTGATCAGAGTAGCATATCCCAGAATCCTGTTTTTGAGATCTGCAATTCTTGCAGTTAGCCTGTAGMAAAAAGACTACATTTTCTGAATACTACTTAAATTTTTAGTAAGTTTAACCTGTACTTCTCTGAACTGGTTGTACAGTTGTCAGCTAATTGAATGGACCAACCACTGTACAGCAGTCAACAATGCAGAATTATTTGGGTATAGAGACATGTTTTTGTGTGTGTGTGCGCGCGCGCATGTGTCTGCGTGTTTTGACTTTTGTTTGTTTGTTTGTTTTCAGAAGTACCGAATACTAAAGTGGAGGAAACACTACATATTTAAACAGTATAATCACTATCTTATATTCTAAGGCAATGTGATCAAAAAAAAGAATATTTGATTAGTTGTGAATTTTGGATTTGTTTTTGGTTTTTTTTTAAACACACAGTACTCTTAAGGGGCAAGTTACTTGGGAAATACGGAGTAGCTTGTTAAGGATATGACCCTGTCAAAAATTCTTACACTAGAAAATAAATCAAAAGGCCTGATAAAATGTAGATTAGCTGGTAACAAAGGGGCTTTGTATCTTTTGTAGGTCAGCAGCTGAGAGTGTTTGAMACAACTGAAATTTAATGTCTCCTGTAGCAACCATGACACTAGTCATTTTTAAATGCACTGCAGCGGTGATATTCTGGTACCAAATCTCTTTCCAGATATTTTTTTTTTATAATGTCTGAAGTCATTATCTCTCATAGGGACATTTAAGGATACTTGCGGTTAGGCAGAAATCTTACTAAACAGGTAGAACTCAGGATCTTTCAAATTTCAAGCAAATGTTTTGTTTAAGAAAATAGAAATTGGAGAATACATTAATAAGAATCATTTGAAGTCGGAACAAATAAGGTTTCTTAAACTTCATGATTCAGAATAGGGTTGYATTAAAACCTTATTTACGTATTGCTAGAATTCTCTGGGGTAATCTTTTATTTTAAGTTTGGAGGAAAAACGGGAGGGAGGGTGTCTGCATATATGAACATGTGATATTAAGTGTAATTGGACTGCAATGCAAATTTAAAAGTTAAAAATCTCACTGTAAGGATGGATTTGTTTTTTCTTCTTTTTGTCAAGGTATGTGTTCTCCATCCTTTCTAAATATGCTTACAGAATTTATACCAACATATCTTTTGATATACTGTCAATTGMCATTATTCATATTTAAGTGGATGAAAGTCTAATATTTTCTGTGTATATAATATTTCATGTATAATGAAGCATAAGTGTATTTTTAAAAAGTATAATCAAAACTAGCGAAGTGGCAAAATCAAACTTTCTCAGTTTATGCAATGTGAGACTTCTTGTTCCCTGTATGGTCTTAATTCAGCTCCCTTTTAAGTATGAATTTTGGTTTAATTATTATTTACTTTAATTATGTATGTGTGGGGAGAATCWTAGTGTGCAGTGTATGAAAATGATGGTGCTTTGCAAACCTGTTTTGGTGTGTATTTTTAACACTTTGTATGGTCATGCCTTAAGCAGTGCACACTTAAACACTGCTTAGAAAGGATGATCAATATTTGTATTATGAGGATTTGCAGTGGCTATTTAGGTGCCACTGCTATGTTTAGTTGTTAATAGATTTGGTAGTATTTTTGTTCTAAAGGCCAGCRTAATTGCATAGACTGTATGTAAAAATACCAGTAAAAAGTAATAATATTGCTGATAGCTTGATTGAGCATACCTGATCTCCCTGCTCCTTGCCCCAACCAGGTACTCTGTGTAATAATACATAGTACTTGAACTTCATGTCTCAATTACAGTTCCTGCTGACTCTTGTTCATAGTTGAGTCTTCAGTACTACCTGGTTCTGTCTGTCCTAAACAGAATGTTAGGAGACAAATTTAAGCCCAGGACATACCCAACTGCCTGTCTTTCTGATGTGTCTTACTGAGAAATACAGGCTGCTTGCTTTCTTCCTCTTTGGAGGAGTAAGAGTTTTCCAAGAGTCTAGTCCAGGCAGATGGATGTAGCCGTGGAGCCCTGCAGTGTGTCCCGCAAATCTGGAGAAATCCCAAAAGCAAAAGAGGCTTTATCCTTCTGCCATCTCGTTGTCCCCAAAAGTCTAGCAACAGGCCAGCAGCTGGCAGCTGCAACCATCAGCTGAGYAGTTGCTGGCAGTATCCAGTGCTCACATGAAAAGGAAGCTGGGAGGCCCCGTGTAGCGTGCGGAGTCTGGATCATTGTACATGAAGGATCTGCCCCTAATCTGCCACTGGGCGTCTAATTTATGGTTTTTTTTTGTTGTTGTTGTTTGGAAGGGATGTGTCTGTGTTCTATGGACGCRTTAAGATACTGCATGTAATCAAGATCCTAATAGTGTTTCCTGTGGCTGATATAAGCACTTGTGCATACACAGAAAGGGAGTTACTTAGTGTATGTACAAGTGCTTATAAACTACTCTTTTCCCTGAAACTGCCTCTGAAATACAGTATAGATTTGAATAGGTGATTACTCACTATGCAAGCATGTATTTGCTTTGATCTCATGTATTTTAGAGGTGCATACAATGTTCTGTTTTAGCATGTGTTAGACCTACATCTGTTTCTCTGCAAAAGAAAAAGTTTTCAGAAAGCAACTACATTTTCCTTTATCTCACTACAAGAATAGGTCATCTTAAAAATGCTATTTGCTAATCTGCAGCTGGATGTCCTTARTGTTAAGTCAGTAGCGTGCTGTGACCTTCTGCCTGTGAGCAGTGACTATAATCCTTCAAGTCATGTGGCCTAGCCAAATTTTCTCCCGATTTATAGTACACTTAAGTAAACTAGGAACTATGGACCTAATACAAGGGTGATATGAGAGTCGCTGTTGTGGCCGTGCTAAAATCAAGACAAGTATTAACTGCTGCCCCTCATTTACAGAACCACATAGAAAGTAGGTCAGGCCTACCTTTGTCTTTGGTAAATCTGTGCTTGCTATTTCCAGTCACCCCTTTTTTCATATGCTTGGAAATGCTCTGTAATTTTCGCAGGGATTGTGGTTAGGCTGAACTAATTGGAAGTTTTTATGTCAGTTAACTTTTACCTTTTATGTTTTCTGGGAAGTGGGAAAGTTGGGAGTAACACTGCTCATATCTCTGAAAAAAAATAGATGTTTTTATTTTYCTTAAACCTGTAAATTGCAGTATTTCACTATTCAGTGTTTCTTGTCAGCATGAAATTTGGGCAGCAATTAAAATTGATTGTCACGTAAGCAACTAAGTCTAACAAGCTACCTGCCCTTCTGTGCACTTTCTGACTTTTTAATCTACTTATATCACTGTAAACATTCAGGAGGGTATGTCTGAGTGGCAGTGTAAATGCTCGTAGTGAAGGATGTGTGTTTTATGCAATCCAAAGGCTGACTTGCATTTAATGATGCACCGTTAGCAACGGGTACTCCCTGAGCGCGTGACTGGGGTAGCTCTGATTATACCCAGGCAGCCTTTTTTTTTTTTTTTTTTTTTTTTTTTTTTTTTTTATGAACAAAAAACTAGTTTTTATTTTTTGTGCCTTTTTTTTTTTTTATTGCTGTGAATAGTGTACTCAGAAAGAGCTAGTGCTGTCTTGAGTTAGTCTCATCTGATCTAGTGTTGCCAGCAGGTCAAGGGAGGTGATTCTGCCCCTCTACTCTACTCAGCTCTGGTGAGGCTGCACCTGGAGTACTGTGTGCAGTTCTGGGCTCCCCAGTATAAGAGGGACATGGAGCTTCTCGAGAGGGTCCAGAGAAGGGCAACCCGGATGATTAAGGGAATGGGACATCTCTCGTATGAAGAGAGGCTGAGTGAGCTGGGCCTGTTTTCTCTGGAGAAGAGAAGGCTCAGAGGGGATATGATTAATATGTATAAGTTCAGGAAGGGAGAATGCAGGGAGGAAGGGGACARGCTGTTCTCACTGGTGGCCAGCGATAGGACGAGGGGTAATGGCCACAAGCTGAAGCAYAAGAAGTTCCGTCTCCAGGTGAGGAGCAACTTCTTTACTGTTAGGGTGACAGAGCMSTGGAACAGGCTGCCCAGGGAGGTTGTGGAGTCTCCTACTCTGGAGGTCTTCAAAACCCSCCTGGATGCCACCCTGTGCCACATGCTGTAGGTGTGCCTGCTTGAGCAGGAAGGTTGGACTAGATGATCTCTAGAGGTCCCTTCCAACCTTGAATATTCTGTGATTCTGTGGGATACAGAGGGCATGTGGTGAACAAGTCAAATCTTACAGTAGCTAGACAGTTCAACTGGAGCTAAAGAATTTAAGTCATCAGAAAAGGAGAGGGAGCAAGACACTAAAACATCAGTGATGTCAAAAGAGCTGTTGAAAATAGTTCTAAAATTTTAATTATTGTACCTGTTAACAAAATAACTTTCTGTGCAGTTTTAATGCATAGTATACATCTTCATTCCATATGGATATAAGATTTAGGAACGGTTCTCTCGTTATTTTTTGCATTTTGTTTTTAAGGATAAGCCTAAAAAATACACTCAGCCTAATAATTTTTAAATAATTAAATTCATTTTTTATTGTTAGAGTTAAAAATAGACTTTAAACAGATCAACTTAGAAGTATATAAAAGCTTTTTATAAAAATACTGTATTTTGTTTTCTCATTAAAATTTTGCTACAAAGTAATATGTCTGGAGAGTGCATCTTCTTAATGAATACAATCTTCTGCATGATTTCATTTTGCCTTTTTACTGATATATAGCATCAGAACTTGTGTAAATTAACCAATGCATTTTATGCTGCCTATTTTCCAAAGTGTATATTGAAAGTCTGCAAAAGAAACAATATTCTTGTCCACAGTTAATTTAGAATTTTCCTCTTCCAGGTTCATGTTGGGGAGAGGCCTAAAACGCAAGCTGAGTGACTATGAGGAGAATGTGGCTGGTCTCTCTAGTGCCTTTGATTCCAGTCGAAATCTGCCATACCCACTTAAGAGGCAGTTGGTGCTCAATATGTGCCTCACCAAGCTACAGACTTACAAAATGCTGGTGGAACCGAACTTGCATCGTTCTGTCCTCATAGCCAACACCGTGCGGCAAATTCAAGAGGAAATGAGACAAGAGAGTGGACAGCCAATTAACGTCTGCACTGGCATTGCTCCTAGTTCTCCCAGCTACGCAGGGATGGAGTCATCTGGAATTTCTCTTCAGTTGCCTTCAGGTATTAGTCAGCAAGAGTCTAGCTGTTGTGACTTGCGGTCTGCAGAGGACCCAATTGAAAATAGTCTCCTGATAGTTTCAGATGATGATATGTCATCTGCTATTTCATCTATTCTGAAGGATTTAGACTTCGTAGAAGACATAAGCCCACCTACTTGTCTGGTTCCTAGTGGAGATGACCAGCCAAAGTTTCCAGAAAATACTGGTCTAAAASTAGAAGATGATAGACAGGATTTGAAGGGAGCTGAGTGTGTGTTTGGTTCCTTTGAGATTTCAAATTCAACTAGTTACTTGAAGGATTTGGCGATAGATGACATTTTTGAAGATATTGATACTTCAATGTATGATTCAGACTTTTGTTGTCCTCCACTAATGCCACCCAGACCACCGCCTGTTGCTACAGAAGAACCGTTGAAAACCTTTCCGTCTTGTAATTCTTCTTCAGCAAGCAACATTCAGATATGTAGAACAGATTTGAGTGAGTTGGACCACATAATGGAAATTCTTGTTGGATCCTGATGCTTGTTTTATCCAAAGATACTTTCCCAACTGCCACTTTCAGTTGGTTTAAGGATAAAAGCCACTGGAAAAGTTGTAAAGAATTCCTTTAAACCTAAAAATAATTTGTCTATAGGGAAATCTTCTAAATATTTCCAAAACTTATAAACCAAAAAGTGGCAGATTTTTTTAAAGAAATATTTATTTATCAGAACTGTGCAATCATCTTTTTCCTTCCAGGGTGTATGTGGAACAGTAGGCACATACCCGTATCACCCCTCATGCCTCTTTCAATAAACTTTTTTATGTGCAATTTTTAATTTGTCAGAAGAATTTACATGCAAAACAAAATTCATATGAGATGATCTTTTACAAAACCTCCACTTTATTTTTAATATCAGAGTCTATGCCAAGTTGGCATACGTCAAGTTGCATAATTGGATTGCATGGATCCAGCCGCATTACTAGAGATGGGTATATTTTAAAAATGAGACACATTTTACTTTCTTTTGGTCAGAAAAGCAGATCAAGACACTTGTCAACGAAGTCTCTTGCATTTTCTAAAGCATTCAGAACTATTTATTTTTGTAAATTTTATAGTCTTTCTACATTTTACTATGTTACTTCATCATAGTTCAAATATAATGGACTTCTAGTTGGATGTGTTTAGCACTACCTCTGAGCTGAAATGCTTTAACTCTTTCCAGTGCTTCGTCTAAGACTGCAAATCTTTTTGTTTCTTTTTGTTCCTTTTTTTTCTTTTTTTTCTTTTTTCTTTTTTTTTTTTTTCCCTCTGGAGAAAATTATTTCTAACTCATTAGGCTGATTCTTTGACAGTGACCTAGCTGATTTGTGAAATCAAGGGTATTCAATGTTTAAAAACTAAGTATTTACAATTGTAATTTATACGTAGGTTGTGCAATTTAACATTTTTTTCTGTCAGTATTATGTGCTTAGATTTTGAGTAATCTTGGCATTCTTTAAATTAAAATTTACTGTGTACAGGTAGCTTTTTAATCTATTTTGGAAAACACTGTCTTTCAACCCTGCTTTCACTACAAAGTTTAAGATGATTTTTATGTGCAATATTATTTAAAAAGATACACACTTGTATACCTGGCATTATAGCAGAAGAACTTTGAACTTCTAGCACCTTTGGAGGATACCTGAAGAGTCAGCATTTCGGTATCCTTTAAGAAACAAAGCTGAGAACACTCTTGCTGCACCAGTGCTGGCTGTTTTGAATCCTCCTGAAACGCTCATTTATACGCGGTGAGTCAGTCCTGATGACTAAGCACCGTCCTGCAGCTGTTCCCGGGGAAGCTGCGGCCGCGCGGGCCTGACGCCTGTTCTGGAAGCATCGCGGGGGTTGCTGAGGATTGTGCCGTGCACAGTACGGAAGAACCGCGAGAGGAGGGAGTTTGGGTATACGTGCAGGTGTGTACATAAATATATTTTGAGCGCAGTCATTAACTGAAGATGACATCTGCAGCGAGAACTATTTTTCCATATGACAGTTGGCATACTGTGTTTCAGCTTGAACTGAGGTCTGTATTGACCCTTGCTTTTGTCTTCTAAACTACACACTTGCACACTTCTGTTTTAAACTGTAAAACTTTTTGTTTTCTTCTCAAACGCTGCAGCATCTGTCTCATGGAAAAACTTCTAATTGCGAAAGCTTTGCTTTGTGAGTTTGTTGTTGTTGTTTTTTCTTTTTTGCTTTTGTTCTGCTGAGACTCTTACAGACTGGAGCATCTGCAGAAGAAGAAAATGTTCCCCATGTGGTGCATCTCACAAGTATTGGAGTTCCGGGCCTGTTACAGGGGCCAGGATGTCACCTACTATTTCTAGTCTTACCAGATGCTGTAGCACACTTACCTTGTGCAAAGATCTCTCTTTTTTTATTTTGTTTTTTACTGTGACTGTTTTGGTTAACAGCTGCCAATACAATTTGGTATCCCAAACCAGTGGAGAACCAGTTCAGGTTACATCCTCACAGCCATTTAGGTTGTTCAGCAACCGAAGGGTATAAATGTATTTATATGCATATAACATATTGATTCTAATATAAAACTTCTGATCTAAAGTATTTTGAATTGCAGGATAAAGGGATTTGTCTGAAGAGTGTATAAATAGTTATTGAAGAGGTACAGCTTCAGAATGTACACAGATTGTGCTTTGTGTATAGACTACTCTGGCTTTTCCTCAGCCTCTACTTTTGTATTAAAGATATGCCTGAATAAATCCTTGAAATATTAAGGGCCTTCTGCACTGTGATGAAGCAGAGTTGTGGCTAAAAATGTCTTTAAATTCAGTGATAGGGAATAAAATGAAAAGACTGCATCTAATTTTTTTTTTTTTTTTTTTTTACATTTGCAAATATGGAATGTTACTATGCAGCAAAGATATTTTGGTAAGAAACTTGTATCATGTAGCAAATAGTAAATACGTAACAAAATTACTTACCTTGCAGCCCTACAGAAATATAAGAAAATGTGCTTTACAGCATTAACATGCAAAAGTGGTTTTTGTATACTTCAGAAATGGATCAAAATTGTTAGTGGACATTCTATAAATAAGTAGTTAAAGTGCAGTTTTTGTTCACGTGCTTGCCGCAAATCTCTATTTCGAACTGGTTGCTTGCATCACAGTGCCAAGACCATGAGCTGGTATGTAATGCAGTTTGGTTATTTATGGAATTATGTGCAAAGGGAAATTTTTAAATATGCACAAACTAATTTTGAACTCCTTCCATGTAAAATGAAGCTAGAGGCTAGTCGTGGTGGACCTATTTATTGTATGTTTGGAAATAAAAGCCACAGTTTTGCATTTTAACCACTTATACTTTGAAGCCTTCAGTATTTGTGTGTTCTTAAAAAAAAAAAAAGGACTGTGTCAATCTCCTTCCTTCTACTCATGAAGATGTAACACTTTTCCCTAAATAGTTGCCTTTTTAAATTTGTTTTTTTCGGGGAAGTATTAAATGTTTCCACTCAAGTCTTTTTTTTTTTCTTTCCCTTCATGGAGATTGCTRTCTCTACAGCCCAAGCTGCCTCTAGTGACATATGCCACAGGATACAACTYTGTAGTTTTTTTTTTTCTCTCATATATGACTTTTGGATGAGTGCGCTGGAAGGTACTTGCACTTTTCTCAATTTTAGCCCATGTCCAACTGAACGATTTGAACTTTAGGTCCACAGTAAGCAGCACAGTGCAGTTGGGGGTTGAATGATGGGGGCAGCTGAATGGCCTATTCAGAATCCTGCCCAGTACCCTCTGTAGTGGGAGTGAGTCTTAAAAAGACCAATTTTCTAGCTAAAGTAGGAGTAAAATAGACACCCTTGAGAAAATAACCAACCTGTGCACTAGTCCTGTGAGGAAAATGAGGTATAATTAGTTGCAAAGCCAATGTTAATTTTAAGCTTTTAAAATACCATTAGCAGAATTCAAGAATTAAGCTGTAGAGGTGTGGCTATGAAAGTGTGCATTAGCAAAGSAGACATGCAGGGGAGCTGAATTTTCTGTGTTAAAGTATGTACCAACATTCACAGGCATTTACCTGTAACTAAGAGAAAAAAAAAGGCCTTTGACATGCAAACATCATTCCTCATATTTTTCTGCATTACRTCTATTTATCCAAGCAAAGCACTATGCTAGACCAGCTATCCTTTGGGCTGACAAATTCTGAGGATCTGTTTCATATTTCAGCAGAAGGAAGTGAGAACTACCCCATTCACCTGAACCAAACTGTCACAGCTGCTTGATGAGAGTTTTCTGGCTTTTTTTTTTTTCTTTTTCGTTCTCTTTGACTCACAGTGTATTTCTCATGCTAAACTCAGAGTCCCAGTAAACTTGCAAACATTGCATTTTAACAATTAGCCAGTTACCTTGAAGGCAGCTCATTTTCAGTCAAATGGCCTCTGCAGTTCTACTTGGTGGATGAGTCCTCCAGAAAGCTCTCTAACAATCACTATGAAAAAGTTGAGGGCTGCTTATAAATTCTGTAATTCCCCTGAACTTTGAAAATAGATGCAGTGTTTCAAAAGTGCTATCAAAGAAAAGATCCACGTGTGTCAATGATGGATGAAAACCTGCAGCTTGAGTAAATGCTGCCAAGCAGCCCAGCACGCCATCCGCATGCTGTGCAGGTGAGACTGGGCCCAGCTCAGGGGCTCAGCTTGAGGGCCRTGAACAGTCAGGACTGCCCCGTGCTGCTCAGTCACTATGGAGTGACCCAGTGATAGGATAAGAGGATGGTTGAGGTTGGAAGGGACCTCTAGAGATCACCTAGTCCAACCCCCTGCTCCAGCAGGGACACCCAGAGCACAGGGCAGCATCCAGGTGGGTTTGGAGACCTCCAGAGGAGGAGACTGCACAGCCTCCCTGGGCARCCTGTTCCAGGGCTCTGACACCCTCACAGGGAAGAAGTTCTTCCTCACCTGGAGATGGAACTGCCTGGCTTTCAACTTGTACCCATTGCCCCTTGCCCTGTCMCTAGCCACCACCCAGAAGAGATTGGCCCCTTCCTCCCTACATTCTCCCCTCAGGTACTTAACACATATTGATCAAATCCCCTCTACAGGGAGTCGGGAGCAGCAGCTGTAGTCTCATGGAAGGACAGTTAACCCAGACTACCCTGAGGAGGCCCCAGGTCAGTTTAAGCTAAATGAAAAAAGTAGGTTGAGGTAGGTGGAAACAATTCGTTTGAAGCACCAAAGGAAGTTCTTCTTCAAACAAGGAGTTGATGTGTACATGCTAGTAAAGATGAAAGAGTGAGGCTAGTAAAAGTAACCTTTACGTTCCAACAGGTTAAGTACACAGCCATTGTTAAGGGAATTTTTACTTATACAACATTTATTAGATTTATTTAGGGGATAATTTTTCTCATTGCAATCATTCCTGTGTTAAGATCTTAAAAATATAATAACGCTACTGATCCATACTAAATGTTTAGCAAAACCAAGCCTTGGTTTATTTCTCACTAATACAAACTGTCATTCAAAAATTAGAAAAAAAAAGCATATAGAAAATGAATAGTGAAAAGAGTGAAATTCTAAAAATCTACTTTTTCACTCACAAATCTTAAGTCTTTAAGAATGCAGTTCTCCAGTCTCCTAAAAAGGTGGCATTTTTGTTTGTTGTTTTCCTCCTCTTTTCATCTATGAAATCGGTTAAGATCAAGTTCRGGCACTTTATTATGAAGTTTAAAAGATTGAAGTGTTTTGCATAGGTCTAACAAACACGGGGCCTTTGTTAAAAGGGCAGAGATCATACTAGGGTCCGAAATGTGCTTTACTTTTTTTTTTCCCCTTCATGTTTTTTTGTTGTTTTTTTTTGTTTTTGTTTTGTTTTTTTTGACTTTTAAAAATAAGGTCCACTCATACTGGGAACATATTGTTCCAAAGACAAACTTCCTAAAACCACCTATCTAGTTAATTCAGTTTTTAAATGATAGTTAAAAAAAAAAAAAGCAGCAGCTTTTCCTTAAGGCTTTACTACTGCTCTAGCTTTGACTCCACTTTACTGAAGCAGCGTTTTCAGGCTCGTGGAGGTGTTTTTAGCACAACTGTTTGCAATGTGCCTTCTACAAAGAGAATGTTTCAGTAGTCACATTTCTAATATGAACTTTTTGGCACTTTTTAGTATATCTACATATATCTCCCCACACACACCTCATTCTCCACCCAAAATGTCAAATGAAATTTACTTTGAAGGAAAAAAGCATTTCTGTCCAGCTCTGCTGGCTAAAGCCTCATACCTTGTTTTGGTTTTCACCCTTTCAGAATTCTGTAAGTACACGTCCAAAGTCTAGGGGATTTACGCTTTTTCCACAAATACACAGGACAGTAACCTGTTCRTTAAAACTAAGTATTTGCAGCTAAGAGCTCACAACTAAAACTGAAATTCATCGCTTAAACCATGCTAGGATTGACGGTTTAGTTTCTTCGCGCACCTTTTGCGCAGAATAAACACTTGCCACTCACTAACCTCGTACCAGRACGGAGCTGCGTTGCAGGAGTGAAGCGGCTGGTTTCAGCACAGCTGGCTCCGTGCCAGGGAAGAACCACAACAAGGAAGTGACACAAGGAACCGAGCACGGAGTATTTGTGCTAAACGCATCCGGAGGTTTCCCTGGGCCCTTCTCAACACAGGCCGAGGCTGCTTTCACACCACCCCCAGCTCTGAACGCGGCCTAGCGCAGGTCCCTTGGGAGAGGCTCCTCTCCCGAGTGAGCTCCCATCACTCACGGGAATTTTCTCTTTGTATCGCCCACCTTGAGTTTGCTGCTCACACCCAAATTCAGACCAGGGCTACCAGAAACGCTCAGCTGCAGGGAATTACGCTGCAGTTTCAGTTCTGCCAGAGCCGGCCTCTGAGTTGTTTGCTCCGGATTGAAGAAAGCGGCAAAAGCTCCGGTCTCATGGAGCCAGTGCTGAAAAGCACTCAGGGTAGCAGGCCCATGGAGCCGATTTTCCTCATTGAAATCATACAGGCTGGAGACTTTCATCCTCCTTTTGAATCCCCAGCAGGGATTAGGACCTGCTGCTATGGCAGAGACACTACTTGGTTACTGCTCCCCYGGGGTAACAGGGCAAAACTCGATCTGCACCACTTGCCACATGGTAACTGAGGGAAAAAAMCTGTTGGGCCCAGAAAGGCCCTTGGGAGCCTGGTGCCTCAGTGCTCCACATGCTCCAAACCTCCTCCAGGCCCTCCTTTGGGGCCCTGTTCATGAAAAAGCCCACGGATTATATTTTATTTTAGTAGCTAATTTTCAGCAGATTTCATGTTTATTTCCCACTCTAAATTTCAAACACTTATTGGCAATTTACTGTTTTAAAACTACCCGCCTCTCTCTAGTACATCTTGAAGCGCTCTGAAAGATTTATAAGGGAAATTGAAAATGAATATTCAAAATGCCAATTACATGAAAGATCCAGCTACTTGATTCAGTCCAATTGGTATTCCCACCTTCCCCACAGCAGGAAATCCACAGCAACAGCCTCCGCCTAATGCAGTTTTACTGGTCTAAGCAACATTAAGTTAAAGTGAAAACAAAGCTAAGTCCCGGTTCAGGAAGTGCTAGTATGTGGAAACAGGAGGTAGCTACTGCTAGAGCTTACATCACTTTGGTGTTTTAACACAACAATTATTTTTACAAAACAACAACAAAAAGGAACCCACCTCTTCTTAGATTACTATTAGGGGAAAGTTTCTGAAAACAGGAAATCCAGTGTTAAGTGATGTTAACCCACATTTATGCCCACAGAGTTTTCAGTCTAACCATGCAGAACTGCTCTGAAGACAGGGAAACTGCTGAGCCACCTTCAAATAGCACTTACTCAAATAGTGCTTGTTCTGTTTCTACTTACAGAGTAACCAGTACACACTTTATCTTACATTAATAGCACTGAGGCATCATAAACACTACTGAAGTTAGTAAATAATACCAATTTTAATTTCACTGCTAAACAGTTAGATGAAGAGCTTGATTCAACCAGTGCTTTAGTCTGTTCTTAATTTTAAGAACAGACTATGTACAACATTAATTGATTTAATCTTGGAAAATTCTAATTTGTTCTATGCTTTTAACACAAAAAGAATCTATCCTGTGCTGTAACATTCTCTTCGGTAAGCCAAAAAATTTGGCAAGTTCTTTAAAATAAGCACTCATACAGAATGTTCATACTCAGAACAGTCAAAACAGTAGATGATTAGTAGCTTGCAGAAGTTATTACCATTAAATAAAGCTGTTGCAGCTGGCAAGGATGAACCATGGATTCTATGACTGTTAATGAAGTACATCTCAGCTGGTACCTATGCATGCAGGAAGGGGAGCAATATATGATATCACATATAGTAACTTGATGATTACCTTGAAAATGCAAGACTCGGGGCAGCCATTTCCAGCACTGTCCAGGGAAAGTCCTGAACTACTCCGCTGTTAAGCTTTAACCATCATGATTACACATGGTTTAAATGGCAGCTGAATGAATTCAGGAAGTCAGGTTGAAGTCAGCTTCAAGWTATGATTTATTTCAACTGGAAATCACTGCCAGAACAAAATGTTTTGAATCTGACCACACCATAAACTCTACCTCTATTACCAGAGTAGGCTCTATCAGACACACAAGGTAAAAAATTATTCTTTAAAACCCCAGTAAAAGCCACAGAATGTAGAAAGCTCTTTTCATTATGCTAAGCTATAGAAAAGTGACTGACCTCTGTTATTCCAAGGTGGATTAAATATGAGAAGATACAGTGAGCAAGGCACTCTTCACAACACACCTAAGATGTGTTTATGTTTTGGCAGAAAAACAAGGGTTTTACTAGAAGAGATATTAAGGCCTGAGAAGTCAGTAGTTAAAAGAATTGTTCAAAGTAGCTTTAAGGTTTGATTATAGCTGCACTTACAGTAAAAGACATGACTCAACAACAAACAAAACCTACMAGGACAAAATTGCACCTTAGACTTCAAAACTAGACAGTGTAAGTACCTTTAAATAAGGTGGCTCTAAGAACCTCATACATAGCAATATGCTACTTTCCTAAGAACATACCAAGTCTCTAGTACCAAACCAGTAACAAAGTAAAACACACTCGGTTCAAAAAGAAAAAGAAATTTAAAAGTGCATTGTTTTTTAACAAACATCATTACTGAAAAATTTCATTTTTAGGTTGTGCGTAGTGAAAATTTGCTTCTTTCTTGGGACTGTTATATATTGCATATTTCCACTTGATGCTGTTCTGTTCAAAAAAAGGTTGCAAGTAAAAAGATGGCCATCTCTGGAATCAGGTGATACAGAAAGCTGGGTTTAAAAAAAAAAAAGAAAAAGAAAAAAGTTAGTTTTCTCCCATTCCACAGTAAATAAATCACTTAACATATTTCAATCTATTTTTTAACACAGATTTTATAAAATTAAAAATAGCATAAGGCAAAAAATAAGGTATAACAAAAGCCTGAAGGACACAGGACCAGGAAGATATATATGAAAATCCCAACAGTTGATTTAACTTACTTGCAAATTAGGTCTGACATTCAGATTTTTTCCAGTTAGCCTTAGTTCTGTCTCCCTCTGATTTGCTTAGCTACTGAGCCTCTTCAAGCAGTTCTTATTCTCTTTTGTTCTCTAGGGTGAACAACCTAAATCTGAATCATTCTGCACAYTTGAAATGGAAGTTTGAATGAAAATCCCTCTGTATACTAAGCTGCCTTGTAATTTCTCCTTTACTGTTTAYTTCAGCAGTCATGATCACTATTTTAAGTGATCGACACACTGATGTTTCTAGAGACACTCTCACTTCCCCCTGTCAGAGCATCCCGACTACATCCTATGTATCTGCCTCTCTCTTCCCTGCCCCATCTCACTATTCACCTATTAGCCTCTCTCCCCTCCAAACCATCTCCCYTTCTTTCTCTGTTATAACTTGACCAACAGCCCAAGTTGCATAAATAACCACACATTTGAACATCCCCTATATCATGCCACTTTGCATTAGGTATGTTATATTTTGCCTTCCCTGAAGCTGCCAGGTGAGTTTCAAAGAAATAAGGAGCAGAGAAAAAAAATACATCCACAAAGCCTTATCAGAAACAATGGGTAACTTTACCAGATGCATCAGAACAATTAGTAGAAAAAATCCRTATTATAGCAAAGAAACATGCAAAATACTCTGTACAGTTCTCTTACCTTCAAAAAAAAAATCTTACCTTGGTCTGGATCAGTGCTTTGCAGTTATTAATACTGAATCCATCAAATCCAAAGTCCTCATCATCTTTAGCATTTGATTCATCAATAATGTCATGCTGGCTCTCTGGGAAGTCCTAATAAAGCATAATTTGCTTTTATTTAAAAATAARCAAAGAACATGCACGTTTATCTGATCTCAGCATAATCTATAGAGAAGTTTTTCTTTATAACAATAACCACCAGATCTTATTTCCTGAAGCTGTATTGTGATTTGTCATATAGTCTGTAATATTAATACAGTTTTATGACAAAACAAGTTCAATACACATGAATCAAATTGTGACTGAAAAAAAAAGCTATTTCCAAATAAAGTTATTGCTGTTCTGTACTAGAATATGACTGAGAAATATATCAGCAACACTTAAAAAAATACAATTTCCAATAAGCAAAAAGAAGTGATACAATTTGTAGTTACTTGTACACCGATTTAATCCACCTGTATCTGCATAAGGGACTAGCTATGTTGCAGAAGTCAAATGCGAGTGGGTAAGAGTTGCTTTCAGGTGCAGAACAAGCTCTGTGCCTTCAGCACAGCAATTTTATTTACATCTAACTCGTATGRCAAGCAAAATGACCATAACAGGAAAAACCTCTTCCTCACATACACACTTCAGTAATCAAATGATCAATCAAAACAGTTACTTCTAAAAAGCGCAAACTACCAATTCATGACTATTAAATAGCCAGGTTAAATACTACACCATTTTTGATATCTATGTCTTCTCAAAATAAAAGATTAAAGAGTGACATTTCTTTTGTGGATTTTCCATACTTTCTGCCCCCCCTCTTTTATTTAAAACTCTCTTCTCCTCTTGCCCAAACAGATAAAGTAATCTTAAAAAAAAAAAAGGGGGGGGGGGGAAATAGAACACACTTTCACATTGTACACAATTAAAACCACCAGTAACTGCCTTAACAACCTCACTGATTCATATCCAATTTTCACTTAATGAAAAGATAATAGAGGTTAACAATTTTCTCATACATTGAGCAGAAAAAATAAAGCCATCTGAGTGAACACATGTGAACGTTAACTCTACGGCCAAAGCTGAACACCCCATTTAATGCAATAAGCACTATATAATGGAGGCTTCAGCACAATCCCAAACTGATCCCTGCACAACTTTCACAGTAACTGAGCTAATGCTGAGCAAACACTATGCTGTGATTTTTTAAAGGTCCTCTTTAAAGAAACCTGCAATTCACCCACACACAGTGCCTTCCTCGTGCATCAGCTTACACAGAGCAGGACCTGCACCCGGGTGTTTACGCCGGCGCACCAGCCAACCTTTGTTCAATTACCTTTTGATTTGCATTTATTCCAAGAACACTCAAGAGGTTTTCTTGGCAATGGGATTTACTCCAAGGATGTCTTAAGCTGGAGGTATTATCCACRTCTTTAAGAATTCTCCATGTGTTTCCACAATCAATGCTAGGAAAGGAACACAAGTGAAGGTTGTGAAATGCAGAAGGTTTCCAGCAGACAAATAGAACTTAAGGTTATTTTCACCAGACAATTTCATGCAAGCCTACTTTGAATTAAAGGCAACTTAACTTAAAACTATTTCTACATTTGTTCAAACTATCAACCCATTGTACTAATAAGCTTGCACAGCGATTAACAGCAACAAGTACTCAACATCATTGTGTGTAYGAGCTTCTCAGATAAAAAGTGCATTAGAAGCCTATTTCAGGGGCCATTACATGCCCACAACTTGCACTCTTCAATTAGTTCTGCGAAATCCAGGTAAGCAGTTCAGCCCTAACCATTCTGAAGCTCCTATTCTTAATTTTTCCTTTATTTCAGCTGTGTTTCCCCCATATAGCAACTTGAGACTGAGGCAGGCTACCCTGYGCTATCTGGTCTAGACATATGTACTACAAATCGGGGAACCAAAGCCAGGGGCACAATACGACTGAAGTAGTGAGAATTAAAGAGCTCCCTCTGCACGCCACTTTGGATTCTTATACTGCATTCATCTTAGATAAAAGCAAGGGCTTTTAGTTCAGTATATGAAGCAAGCATCATTTATCTTTACTTTCTTCAGCACAGTATATCATTTTTTGCCAATCTTCAGTAGGTGCTCTTCTAATATTGAAGTCTTTTTTTACATACACCCATTTTTTTTCCTCTACAAGTTCAAACCTGTTACCTAATTAAAGTTTAAAGCACATGCAAGGAGCTTGTTGAAAGGATGTCCACGTTAAATGTATTTTATTACAACTCACGTAACATTTCCAATGTACAGCCTGAATAAGTGACCTAATTTTTCCTAGATAGAAAGCCTCAGATGTATGTAAAAATAACTACAATAACTACAATACTCTTCAGGCACTGCTGGTCCTGCGAAAACATGTAACAAGTCTAAAAGCATTCCAGCTGTCTTGGGAGCTAAGTCAGTGATACTAATTGCTGTTAACATAACCCCAGGAAAGGAGCCAGATGCACCACAGATTCAGCAACAAATCTTGTTTAACATGAGGTTACCACCTGAGAAAAATGGGGATGGGAAAAAGGGAGCAGGTTGTCAGCAGAAGCAGCAGCAGCGACGCTCAAGCTTTACAGGGCAGAGAAATAAGTCAGACTTGCTGCAGAGGAAGAACAAGCAAACAGGAAGAACAGGCTGCCTGTTGGTGTTCTGGCATTCCAGAAACTTAGTCATAAACTAGCAAACCAACAGCAGAGAAGGAGGAAGAAGGAAAAAAAACCTAAGCAGGAATTCATGCTTTTGATACATTGTCCACCTTTTTTTTTCTTTTTTTTTTTTTTTAACAGCTAAAAACCAAGCTATTTCCTTAGTAACACAACAAAAATGCTAAGATCCAAAGGCTTAAAGAAAATAGTGATTGAAATGAATTTCAGTTCAAAGCTAGTTTGCAATTATCATATTTTTTTAAATTATTAGTATAATTACTGAGGGTACTTTTYTGTCTGTTTTAAAAGGAATAAACAAAAAACTATTTCTTTAAACTCATTACCAAAGTTGATTCTTCATAAAATTAGGAATCCCAGTATCTTCATTATTTGTATCAAATACTTGATCTAAACTTCTTATGCTCTCCCTGGATTGTGGTACAGTGACTTCTGGAAAGCTCAGCTTAAATATATCCTCATAGCTGTGGTTTACCTAGAAAAAGCAGAATTTTATTACAGACATTACATGAGCCAGCCCAGCACTTCACAAAGAGCTGGTCTAAAAAAAAATACAGCGTTCTCACCAATTTTATTATCATTTGTATTTAACAGTTGTTTGTATAYGAACACAACAGAGGGACTGTAGTTCAACATTTTGAGTACTTCTCTGGAATTAGAGGGTACTATTAAATTGATTTGTAGAGTATTTCAGTCGATTTAGTTTATAACAGTGATACTATTAAGGGGGAAAAAAGTTCAGAAAGCAAAATTCTATGAAAGAACACTTATTAAATCATAAATTCAGGGTCAAGGAAAATAAAAACCCTCTAACTAGCTACAAAATGCCAGATGGGAAGGGAACTAACATCAAGCAGTTATTCCTGGCATTTGAAGAAAAAAAAATATACAGTATTTAAGAAGCTTGAGTTAAGGGACACACATGCCTGTCCTGCTCGTAGTGTCTTCCTGGAGTCTCATGTTACTTTGACATGCGCACAGGACACTGAAATCATTATTCACTGGCTTGCAATTTGCCAAGCCAGAGGAAAAGCTGGGCATACAGGAAAACTGTCAGACTGTACTTGTATTCATTTTATCATTATTTTCCACTTAGCTGGGTATTTCTAAAACAAAATTGAGGTATGTTTTTTCTTTGCCTTATAGCTTTGTAGCAATTGTGGTACATGAAAGTATGACTTTCAGATCCATGGATACAGAGGTTTTATTTAAAAAGCAATTATATCAGAATATTCCAGTGTTCCAGTGGAGCAAACTGCAGTGTTTAAGCCAGTCCTTAAAATGGTCTGTATTTAAAGACAGGAAAACCCCTTAAAGTTGTTCAGTTACAGATGCAAAGTATCCTGCTACTGCAAACAAAAAMACTTGCATCTTAAAACATCGGACTTTGCCTCAAGTTATTAGAATTTAATTGAAGCACTTAAAATGGACATGAGTTTAAAGAACCCTGCCAAACCAGAMTTCTATATTAACCATGCAGCCAGAAGAGTTTATGATCCAAACAAATTAAATAAAAAGCATAGCAATGAAGGATATAGGTATATTATGTACGTTATGCATTTGAAGGTATCTYCAACAGTCCTATTGCTAATTCACTATCCTGAGGAAAGAAAATTATATTCTCGAGTTTGGAGATTAAGTTACTTATTATATCAAACCTCTGTAACAGACAAGTGGTAAATTATTATTGCTACAGATCAACCCTGTGGAAAGTTTGGAACAATTGCTCTTTTTACGAAAGAAGAGTTTTACTTTAGGATAAAAATAGTATGAGTAAGTGGTATGAATATTTGTTTTGTATTCAGACATTTGTGTTTTCTTTTTGCTAGTTTCACTTTGCCCTAAAACTAAGCATTAAAATTTATTAACTGGAACAAGATATAATCACTAGATTTTTTTTTTTTTTGCTAATGGAAATGTATTATGTAACTTAGCATTTAATCAAATTCTTAGTTCTAAAGTTGTATGTAGGAATGCAACTTGCTGTGTGATGGGACAGAATATATTCACCAAGTTACATCTTTATTATGTRTCACATTTATTAAGGATAGATATTAATCTAGAATGCCCATATTATTTGCCTGTATATAAAACACAGAAGTTACCAATTCCTGACTTAATTTTAATAATGATTTATTTCAATAAGCTTGCAAAAAAAATGTTTGTTTACTTTTTGTTACCAATCTTCCCAAATTCTGTTTCCTATGCCCACTTGTAAAATGTGCGTGCCCTGGGTCRAGGTTTGTTGTTTCCGAAGGCTTATGCATCACTAGGGTCCAGAAGCAAAACAAGGCAGCACAGTCTTTAAAGCTCCCCTGCAGGAAAACTTCAGCATTTGTCAAACAGGGCAAAGAAGCTGCTTTTGTTCCACTAACAGCAAAGTAGCTTGGCAATTTCTCCCCCTCCACAGCATTATCCCCCTCCACAGCATTATCCCCCATAGAGGAGACATTCAGACGCAAATCTCTGGAGGCAGGAAGCAGGAGCACAAATATTTCCAGTTCTTGGTTTGCTCTCGGCACCTACCTCATTCAGAGAGCTAGGAGCCTCCTGCCTCCCAGCGCGTAGAGATGGCTCCGAGGACAAGGGACCAACCGAGGCGCCGCAACGTCCTCCGTACAAGTCCATATCACCTTTGGAAGCTTTCATCGACTGCCCCAAAACCTCAGGATTGAGACTGAAATTCTCCAGTTTATCTAAGGGCTCCCTGAAGCCTTCAAAATCACCCCAGGAACCACTGATTTCTAGTGTACTATGAGTACCATCAGAAACCCCCTCACAACTTCCTTCGCTGTTCACTGCAGGGAAGCTCTGCTGCATTACTTCAAGACTAATTGTTTCTTCATTATCTCTCCTTTCATTTGAGTCACAGTCCCTTTCATGGAGAGGCGTAYCAGCTATATCAGCTACTAGATCTTTCAGAGACATGCAGTGTAACGTGTCCGTATTACTAAGGCCTTCTACTAGTGTCAGATTCTGCATTTTGGTGGAAAAGAATGAGGAAAAAAAAAAAAATCAAGCAGAAATAATTTGCTGAAATCTGCCTTGAAAACTTTCTGTCCTGCAGAAAGAACCAGTGATGTTTAAATGAGGTAGAGATCTGAATATTTACAAAACATAATCCAACTCCTCATTTCCCCAAAGGGCGGCCGCGGTGCTCATCCCAACACGATGCCCTTCGGTCTCTCCTCCGGCATCGGCAAGTGCGAGTTGTTCAGGCTTTCTGTGCAGAGTACCAGCCTGCAAAGAAAGATCTGTAAATAAATACTTCTGTGATAAGGGCTACGGAGGCATAAGAAAGGAGAGTTGATAAGGTAGGAGAAAGAATGCTCAGGTTAAAATAAACACATTCCAACATCATGCAACTGAAAAATGCAAGAGTTATGGCCACGTTTGGGGTAATCTTGGTACCTGCCCACACTCAGCGGAGAGTTCTCAGGAAATAATTAGTGTTCTTAGTGTTCTCTACCGTTAATCCATCGTATTTCCTAAATCCTGAGMTTGTGCTCCAGGTCTGCAGGGGCCTTCCCGGGGAAGGAGCCGACGGCAGCAGCGCCGGAGCGGGCTCCTCGATCCCACGGAACAGGCAGCGCTCCCACCGCTTAAGCGGCGGAGGCAGACCCACTGAATCCATTTTGACACCTTTAAACTACTCCAYGCAAGGCTGAACTCATGATTTCAGGTCAGCCGCTTCCCCGCGAGCCTCCTCCTGACTGGGGAGCYGCTCTGGGGAGGACAGGGCTCAGAGAAGCGGCTGGTACCGCCTGGTCACTAACCGGCACTTTCTGCCCTCGCTGCCTAGCRCAGACCCCGATCTCGAGGACCTGGAGCAGACTCCCCGGCGCTGCCTGTTTCCCTCTCACGGAGGCGGCACCCGCCSGTGTTGGGGCTCGGAGCTGTCCCCGCGGGTGACAGCGGCGGGTCGCGCCGGGCTCCGCTCCGCAGGGCAGGGGGGGAACAGCCTTACCCGCCGCGTTCCCGCCCGCCCGCGCCGCCGCCGCGCAGCGAGAAGCCTGGGGCCACAGGCAGCACGTCGTCAGGGGCGGCGCCGAGGTGTGTGCGGGGCCCGCCCGCGCCGGCATTGCACTTTTAAAGGTGAAGGGGCGGGGCCTGGAGCCATTAGGGGCGGGGTCTCACGAGGGGGCGGAGCCTCACCACCAGACGGGCTCTGCGAGGGCGGGGCCTCGTGCGGCTGGGGGCGTGGTCACGGTGAAGAGGGCGTGGTCTCGGGGATGGGGCGGGGCCTTCACGGCTGAGGGGCGGCGCGGGGCTGTGGGGCCGGAGGGACCTTCCCGGCCCCACCGAGCCCCCCGGGCCCCACCGAGGCACCGTGGGGCAGGTTCGCGGTGCGCAGCCGTAACTGCTGCCCCACGGGCGGGCGGGACGGGACGGGATGGGCACGGCCGACCTGCCCCTTCCCCTCTCCGACCTGCTCCCTTCCATCAGACCTCCTCCTTCTGTCTGCCATCCTTCCTGCTGCTCCAGTCTCCTTCTCCTGCCCGGTGCCCTCCTCCTTCTCCTCCCTGACCTCCTCCAGCCTGACCTCCTTCCCCTGCCTGACCGCCTCCTCCTCCCGCCTGAGGTCCTGCTCCCATCGGACCGGGGGCTCCTCCGGTCAGTCCCCCTCCCATCACACCTCCCCGCTCTCCTCCTCCCTGGCTTCCTCCTCCTCCCTGATCTCCTCTTTCTCCTGCTGCCGGTTCCCCCCCTCCCCCGCAGCGCGTTCTGCCCCTCCTCTCGCCCGGCCTCCTGCTCTTCCTCCTCCTCCTCCAGCTCCTGCCTGCCCTCCTCCCCCTCCTGCTGTCAGACCTGCTCCTGTTCCTGCCTCGCCTCCTCCTCCTCCTGCCTGGCCGGTTCCTCCTCCTCCTGCCTGCCCTTCTCCTGCATGGCTCCTTCCTACCCCCTTCTCCTGCCCAACCTGCTCCTGATCCTTCTCCACACCTTCCAGAGCAGCCATGAGGGGCAGGGCGTGATCAGTTGTTTCCTCCGCTTCCCTGGGGCCTTTCCAGCCACACAGCTCTGGAGTGTCCCCATTCCCTCCCCTTTCTCTGCTTCTTAACACCCACTTCTCTGATTCAGCTGCCGTGAAAAGCTTCACCTTTGTCTGCCTGGCTTAGAACCACCCCCCAGTTCATGTTTTACAACCAGAAACCAACACACACCCTCTGAAAGAATCAGGGGGCTGATTTCAAAATCATGACACTAAAAATAATGCGGTCACATTTTCCGACTGTCCACAATCTGACAGGCTAAGGACGTACGTCTTAATTGTGAAGGCTCATGTTTGGTTTTAATTTGAGAACAATTGAAATTCTTACAGAATTACAAAATTCCATGATACAGAGTTGGAAAAAAAAAAAAAAAAAAAAAAAAAAAAAAAAGAAACCAACGCACCCTGTAACTTAATATCGGGATGAACGCTAGGAACAAGCCAGCTGCAGTCCTGCAGGATCTTCTTGTTCCCTCTCTCCCTCATTTTGCCCTCTGAGGTTTCTATATTTGGTTGTCCCACTTTTCCTCTCTCAGTCCCTCTCTTTGCTGAGGCTGGGAGCTTGATCCCTCACGGAGATAAAGGTGGAAGGTGTGAAGAGGCTGGTGGAAGATGTGAAGAGGCCAGTCCACAGCTGTGGGGACTGTCCCTTCTTGCCTCTCTTGTGCCCAAACCGTGGAGCCAGAGAGGGGCTGGAGGCACCGTGTCCAGGGCTGATCTCTGCCTGGAGGTGCCGTGTCCAGGGCTATCCCTGCCTGGAGGTGCCATGTCCAGGGCTATCGCTGCCTGGAGGTGCCTTGTCCAGGGCTGATCCTGCCTGGAAGTGCCGTCCCCGGGGCTGATCCCTGCCTGGAGGTGCCGTTCCCGGGGCTGATCCCTGGCTGGCTGCTCCCACATATGCGTGACAGAAAGAAGTGTGCAAAGAAAATTTCCCCCGGCCTCTCCTCAGGATGTTGGCAGCAGCTCCCTGTCCTCAGGGCTGGGCTTAAAATCTGCACAGACCCGAGCAGSGGGGGACAGTTGTAAAAGCAGGGGGGAAAAAAGGGTTTTCTGGAGCGAGGCCCAAAGTAAAAAGCATTTTTGAGGCATTACAGTACATATGTTTTCCTGCCCAGGCACAGACACACGCACGCCCATCCCACACATCTGACTCTCATTTTAGGCTGTGCTGCTTTATCTGAGGCTGAATTTGGGAGAAATGCCTAGATGCAGAGCCAAAGAAACTTCATTGGCAGCGCTCTGAAAGAATCCTTTTGTTTTCCTTCTCCTTGGGAGCCATTTGCTACCCTCTGTGGCCATCCCGTGGCAGCTTGCAGCTCTGAGGCCATCCGAGCGGCTCAGTAAGACCCAGAGCGTCTCGTGTTCTTAACACGCTCACATTTCTGCTCCCAAAGCAAAGGGCTACGTGCAGGCTGCCTTGAGGCTCCTCTGCAATCCCATGCTTTGAACCTCGACACGAAGGGACGTGGGGGTTTTGCGAAGCGGACTGTGCGTGCAGGGTTCAAGTGGAACAGTGGGCAAGTTAGCGAGCATGAGAAGTTACCCCAGATCTTAGAACCCAGAGGTCAGAACTTAGAAGGAGCATAAAACAAAAAAGCAGTGCCTTCTTCCCAGTGTAACGTGTGACTTCCCAAAGGACCTGTGAGGCGCTCAGTATTTATCCCAGGACACCCTGTCCCGCTGTGGGAACGGGAGTTGCTCTCTCCACATCCCAATGGTGCTCAGGAGAGCGGCCTCGGAGCCGGCTGCACCACCTGCYGGGCACCAGACACCCCAAAGCTTCTTGTCTCTGCACGAAACAGCCTAAAACCCAGGGAATCACCCCAGGAAAAACATGCCCAGCTGTRTTTTGTGAAGGTTTTGCAGTCAGAGGGGAGCCACGTGGGACAGAGGTGGCCTGCAAAGTGGATTCCACTTTCTGACACCTGAATTCAGTTCTCGTGACTTGGTCCTACTAAGACATGATGCTGTAAGCGTTAGTGCAATAGTCAAGATTTCTAATTTGGGTTTTAAATTACACCCCCTCGTGGACTGACGATTTTGAGTCAAAAATGATATCACAATTGGATTAAGAGCTTTTTCTTCCAAAGGAGAGCTGAAACAGGGACAAACCTCTCATTATCTGCTGGATGTCTTACAATTGTCTGCTGTATAGCAGACTTTGGCCCTGTTATTCCTGCACTGAATCCATAATTTCTTTCTGAACTATCACTTTTAAAAAAATCCAGTCTTTATTTAAAGATTCAGTAAGCCTTTATCTTTATTTAAAGATTCAAATGAGAACCATAAAGCCTATATTTGGAGGCTTAAATGTGTATTCCTAGTGGAGTAGAACCTCGCTAATCTGAAACTCACCAACAAAAACAACTGAATTAACAGAGCCCTTACCTGAAGCTGCTATTGCTGCTGCTGCCATCATCCTTACTGGAAAAAATGTTCGTGTTTTATACATATGTTCTAGAATTAGTGGGTTTTTTTCTTTTCTTTTTTCCTTTGAAAAATACAAATTTGCAATGAAGATATTCAATAGAATAGCAGGAAAGTATTTATTTTCACAGCAAAACATCATCACACTGCTGTAATATGATTTTTCACTGTTTTGTGAAATGATCTGGTCCTAAATTTTTGAACTGTGTGGTTCCCCTGCAAATGGTAAGCATTATATGTATGGCTGTTTTCTTCCTTCTTTTTCTTGCATGTACAAAAAATATAAATAAGATTTGTAGCTTTGTGAACAGAATTTTCAGTGTTTTTTAATTGAAACATTAAGCAAAATTAACTTGCTATTTAAATGCTATTTAAATGTTTTTCTTTAATTCAAATGAATCTCTTAGATTTTCTTTCTTGTAAAAACAATGTTACACTTAGATAAACTGGCTCAAAATGTCACGTGGAAAGAAAGAGTAAACATGTTTTCAGAAGTCAAATAATTTGGATTGACTCAGAACTAACTTTTCAGTAGATGAGCTGTCTTTTCAGCACATGACTACTAATTTGTTTCTCTCATCATAAATATCYGGACTCTGAGAAGTGCAAGAATTCAGCAGTTCTTCCATTTCAATAATAATAGGAAATGCTCCGATTTTTGCAAATCATTGCATATATCATCTCTCAACGCTGATATAAGCAACCAATTACAACTTAATTTTAAGTATATGAGCCATAATTCCACTACTGTGGAATTACAGGCTGCATAATTCCACATGTATAAAGATGGTCCGTGCTCCAGGAGATGCAGCATTTCTGGCTATACCTCCCAGCTTTGCGCTGCCCTTGGTCTSCCAGCATGGAAGTTTCAAAACATCAGTAAAATCCCAAGTAATGCCAGAATAGCAGGCATTAATGAGAAACATAGAGCAGTGAGCAATCCTTGGGCTAAAAGATCAACCACAATCTTTTCAACGGCAGATGGCAGCTCTGCCTCATCTCTTAGGCTTGCATGCAACGATGCGTCAGGCTCCTCTTGTGAGCACGGGATAACCCATCCCCTCTACGCACCCCGTGAAAAAGGTGTTGGGCCAAAAAAGACCTTTCATATTTGACCCAGACGAGACAGGTGGAGATTTTGTCAGGATGGATCGCGGATCTGAGATTTAATGATATAGCTCTGTACGGTATTTTGTTACAGTCAGGCAGCACCTGGTTTTTGTGCTGACACAGAAAAAACATTTCACAGGATCCCTTTGTTGGATCCTGTGATCCCTCCATTGGATCTCTCCAGAGAAAAGATCAGCACAGACTCCTGTCTGTACCTACAGAAAAGACAAATCCTCTGCCAGGAGACATACGGTATACTTTACGTACCTCTCTTCTCTCACGTGTGGAAGATAAAGAAGCCACAATCCATCTCTCAGAAATGCTAGGTGTTCAAGAGATGCGTGTGCCCTGGCTGCAATGGCTGCATCTATGTGAGCAGTTCTATCCACTCCAGTAGTGTGGATTACTCCCATTTGTTTCTATTGTTGGTCTTATTCTCAGAGTTACTTTGAAGAGTGTG